ATTAAGTTCATCACCAACAGAAGAGGCGGACAGGACATTTCGCATAATGGATTCATCTACAGACAGATTCGAAGGAACGGCAACAGGACCTTCTGAAGATGTTCGACCTCAGGCTGTTCAGCTTCCCTCTCAACAGTAGACAACATACCAGCTAACTTTGAACGAAATCCACACAACCACGCCTCAGACCCAGCCAGTGTTGTAGTCAAACAGTTCATGAACCAGATCACCAACAAATGCGTAGAGTCTGTCAAACCCATTCCGTCCGTCTTTGAGGAGGAACTCGACTAACGCTGAGACAACGATTGGGATGACACTTCAAAGACCGTGGTCCAGCGACTGCCACCATTCTACACAGCCAAATCGCCTCTCTACCGTGCTGGCCGCAAGCAGACACCTCCACTACCAAAGACTTTGGATGATATCAAATTAGATGGAAGATGGGCAGAAACATCAACAGGCGAACCATTTCTCCTCTTTGACGACGGTGAACAGAACAACAGGACGATCGCATTCGCTACATCAGAGAACCTGGCTGAATTTGTAGCATCTGACACATTCTTCTGTGATGGCACATTCTGTACCTGTCCAACCATGTTTCACCAGATTTACAGCATCCATGTACTGACCCCAGTTGTCTATGCACTACTTCCTGGAAACAGCCAGGTTGTCTACAACTGTTTCTTCACGCTACTACAGGATCACATGATACACTTCCAGATTCCATTCCGGCCCACTACAGCCTTTGTCGATTTTGGAGGTAAACTGAAGAAGGTACTGCATGCCCATCCCAACATTTACACCATCATCCAGACGCATAAGGACATACAGAACATGAATGATATCGGCCAGATTAAGAGAGATGCATGAGGCACCATTCAACCTTGGAAGAAGAATTACGCCAACACTGACAGACGCCTGACCACCTTGAAGGACTGTTATCAGACTGGGACGATCGACCTGATGACCTATGCTGATTCAGCATCCGAGCTTCTCCATCTTGGATTAGAGTGTTTTGTGTTTTCTAGTAGAGACTTATCTAGTACTTGACTATCTAAGGTTGCAAAAGGACATAATGTCTAGATAAAGTGGATAATGTATTGTCATAGATAAACGAGTCATTGCTAATTCAGCTTCATTTAGGGGTTTATTGTTTATTTTAAATAATTTATTATTCTAGTGCTGAAATGTGCATATTGATTCGCTATTACATGTATAAATATAAATTCAATGTAATTGCTCACATCAGTATATCAATGTAACTTAATGAATTTTATTTATTAATTAAACATAATCTTTACATGATAATCATTAAATAATGAATGATGATATCAAATATTAATATATAATTATTGTTTTATAATATTTTTGTATGCTTAAATTGTGTTACAATTAAAACAAATAGAAACTTTATGTATTTCATTACTGATATGTAAGCATCCTATTTACAAAATAAGTTGGCATTCTTAGTTGAAACAGACTATAACTTTAGCTTCAAAGGATTCCCTATATTAACACATTCCTTTCAAGATGCCTGAGTTGGTGTTCGGACAATGAGCCTGATTCACACATGTTGCATACTTTGATTTACGGGTTCAGAATTGTTTACGCGAAATAAAAAAGACACATCTCATGAACTGATGTTACCTTCCACTACAGTACAATAGTTCGGATGAAATATATCATCTTTACCATCTGTTCAGTATTGACGTAAATGTAAATTCGGATTAAGTAGGAAGGCTAGGATTAATAGGTCTACGTTGAACGATATCAATATCCTAACTGTAAAAGTGATGTTTTGTAGGTTTTTATCTTACGGTGTTTTCAATAATCAAAATGATCGTACACTGTTTCGGCAACTGACAGACAAACTCACAATACAGGAATTCCTAAGATGCAAGTTGGTTATATTGATGAGGAAATCATCACGATTTTATTAAAAAATATTCTATTCCCTTATGCGGTGTGAACTTTGACGTGTTCAATACACGTTAGTATATATGTTAGTGAAGTAGAAAACGTTTACACTTCCGAAACACATGGTCTTATTTTTCTGGTATATTTTAAGGGTCTCCGTGTAAATCCCGACAATTATAACGTCAGTATGACGGTTCTTTTAATTATGTACGACTTTATTAACAAAAATTTTGAAGCAAAAACAAAAAAAAATTAAATGTATTTATTTTTCTTAAATGTTGATGAAATGAACCATACTTTACTTTTGATACTATTTGAAATAACAATATGTCAACATCCTATAAATTCATATTACATTTTGATGAAACCAAAACAAACTATGAAATGAGTATAAAATTATTGTGTAAGGAGACTTCTTTATATAATCGTTATTAAACACAAAAATTAAATTGTTCCCGCGTAATTCTATCAGACTAACACAATGTCTTTCCTTCCCAATACTATTCTGAGGGGTATTTGTTCGGGTATATCAGAGTCTCTAGTTATTGTGTAAGGAGGAGACTTATCGTTATATAATCGGATAATTAAACAAAACAAAAATTTAATTCGTTCCCGCGTAATTCTATCAGACTAACACAATTCTGGTGAGTGATTGGAGAATCTGACTTAATCAAAGTACATGTAACATACACAAAATGACAGTTACTCCAAGTAAATCAAACAGTCCGACCATTTATCATGCACACGAAAGAAACACAAGTGAATAGCACTTTTTCATAACTTAGTGATGTTACATCATACAGCTGTTTCGTCCTTCTAAGACTCGTCCGTGATGCTACATCATATAGTTGTTTCGTCCTTCTAGGACTCGTCAGTGATGTTACATCATACAGCTGTTTCGTCCTTCTAGGACTCGTCAGTAATGCTACATCATACAGCTGTTTCGTCCTTCTAGTACTCGTCAATGATGCTTAGAGACTGAATTTTGAAGTCTAGAAGGCGACTAATGAAAATCCAAAGTGATCAAAAGAAAAGTCAAAATCTAGACGGGGAGGTGCAGCAGTCCCATAATTTTATATAAATTTCGTAATTTCCATACATCAGATATTTTTAGAACAGCGTCAAGTACATGTGTATTTTCTGAATCTTGTCACAGTTTGAATGAATTAAAACGTGGCAAGCAGTAAAGTAAATATTTTTGTACAATTCGTTGTCTACGAAAGCCGATTAGTAATATTTGAAAAAAAAAATCTCGTTATTACGAATTAGCTACCTATCTCATTGTTGTATAAACAATGTATAACTTTGTTAGTACTTTTTCATTTTTATTCTCCAGCGTTTTTACCTAGTAAACAATTAAGCAATCGAACTATGGTAAATCTACGTTCCTAATTTTGAATCAAACTCTAAATTTACTATAAACTTTGTAGTCATTTTTTTTTTCATTTCACAGATTCCTGTCTCTGTCACATCTGGAAAGAAACTCAGGGGCATGTATTAAATATGTTATACAAATATTGAATTTAGGTGAATACGATGATTTATCAACCTGAGAAAGTGTTTCCCGAGGCCTCACATTCTCGGGTTAATATATCATAGTGTTCACATACAAACAAGCAACAAGTCGATAATTGTAAATAATTGCTGTACAAATTCTGTGGATGGAAGCAAAAAGTTATTTTTCGAGCTAGATAGAGTTGATTGAGAAAAGTCATTAAGTAAACTACATCAAACAATGTTTTAATGTAACTGGTCGTTTCTAAGATTGCTAAATACAGGGGTTCTATTTCCGGCTACCCATTACCACGAGAATGGTTTATTTAAGGTGTTACCTTACACTTGGTAGTTAGCCTACAGTGAACTGAGAACTCAACGACAGAAGGAAGGAAGGCTTTGTATAGACATGTATGTAATGGAATAGAAAAATTTACCTGCGGGGATAGGAGAGTTTAGCAACTTTCTACTCACTATTATATGAATATACACTGATACACGGACACACGTTTGTGTCAGAAATATGGCCGGGGAAATATTATAATATCTACCTATTTCCATTAGGAACTTACCTCAGGGAATATTATATCTATGAATAACTTTCAATGTAAGAAGATTTGTTAATGGTGTTATGACAAATTAAAAACATATTTTTCTAAACCAAATTAAGTTTTGAATAAATAGCAGTACTGTATACAATGATAAAAAGCCATTGCATTGAATTATATTTGCATATCGGGCACGTGTAATTCATTATCGGGGTGGATCAATATTTAAGACCTCTCGTGCGGGACAGTTTTAAATACAAAATTACCACGAAGACAGAGAGAGTGAGTGTGTGTTGGACGGTGTATTTTCCTTTATTTTCAAAAAAGAAAAATACCATGGGAGCAGAGACGCTCTAGATGGGAGGCAATGATGTCCCGGCAGTATAAACATTTGCAAGCCATTTGACTGTCGGTCAAGTATAGCGATATCGTGGTGTATATATGGTGGTAACAAAAAACAAACAAAATACATCTGAACATGATGTCGATCTTCAGATTACACAATTAAACTCACTAGAAATATGCTGCAATTCATTCAAAGCACACTACTTACAGACAGGACGTAGATATATCGAAGTTCGTGCATAACTTGTAAAAAGATCACCGTCGGTATTTGGATATAATCAATCTCAAATAGTGAACTTCCCAATAGAAACATAATTGGGGAATTTTTGTTTATCGCTTTCTTATACGTATATTTGTATCACTTTACATACATTAAGGTACTTAAGAACCCGAGTTTCCTCTGACCCAAACACCGGACGTTAGACATATCGACAAACAGGTCTCTGTTCTTCGGTCAAAATTTAACTTGAGAGATATAGCGTTAGCTCAGTACTTTATGTGGTTGTACAGGGAACTGACTCAGTAAAAATCTTGGTTACTTCCCCATGCACACATTTATTTTAACATATTATATTTGTCTTCCGTAATTGGTATGACAAGCTCTTCACTTAAGATTATATTACTTACCTCCCTTAGTATCGTCGTACCAAATCGAACGCACCTTTAATCTATACTCTATCCACTTCCGGCGGTCAAAATGGCTGCTTTGGGTTTGTTACGAAATTCGACATCGGCATTATTTCGCAGATCCTTGGTGAAAACTACACCAACTATTGTCTCTGTCAGGTAAAAATCTTCTGATGATTTCATTTTTAATGCACTTTTTTGCAGTGATGTCTAAAATGGAGGCATGGTACCGATTATTTGCAACTGTATGTCGTTGCCCTTGAACACTGAACAGAGAATTCTTAAAAAGCATCCCAATCCTGCCACAGGTATGCTCAAATAAATGATAAAACTGTGTTTCAGAATCAAAATACGTAATTTCTTACAGCGTCTTGCAGACTCCTGGAACAGGTTGGTCCTTTATTTTAGGGATAGTTGCCACTTTCAGGTTCTGGAGTAATCCCTTTTAGGACTTTATATAAGACGTTTGACACTGTCCCTCGTGATGGATTAACACTAGAGCACCGACAAATCTGTCTATATACAGTTGGCAGATCTGGCTATACATATCCCGGGGATATGTAAAATACTGAGCCATACCTGGTCGCTATCATGGTGTGGCCCATCGAAAAAATTGATGACAACATGCCTCAAATTTAACATTTTTTGTCACTTGCTGAAAACAGCAAGTGCCTTAAATTTGTACTTGCTAAAATGACTTTTATCTTGCTATTATCGCAAATTTCCATGTTCAAATAATGTGTTTTGTTTTGTGATTTATAATGTATTACTTTGCTTCATCCAATATATATCAACATTATAGAAGAACTGCATTGTCCCAATATTTACACTCTGAAAATCAAAACAATTAAATTCTGTGAAATGTTATGAATACACAGGCACTCACAATTTGCATCTGATGAATACACATGCTGAAAAAAGCAAGTCATTATTTTTTCTACTTGCAAATAGCCTTAAATTTAAGGCCTGGACAATCTAGCAAATTGGTAAAACGAATGTTTTTGTCCTAAACACCATTTCTGGGTAGGTTGAATATTTACAACATGTTCCAATGGTGAGACATGAAATATCCTTAATTCATGATTAAAACACCCCATATTTCACTTGCTTAACCACACAATTCACATTCGTTATGGGTTATAACTTTTTTGGATGGAAACATCATGCTGAAATTGCACCTGTGGCCTGTTTCTTCATCATCAAAGGGATACTTATCTGTAGTCGACACAATGATTGAATGATGCCATATTGGAAGGACACACTAGAGAGTTTGTTTCTAAATAGCTTGTGTACATAGATACTGAAAATATGTAATGATGAAATAGAGAAAAAAAATGCCTGAAATTGAACAAATTTGCTGAAAACATTAATTTCACTGACTTTCTTGATTCGTCATTCACTTTTTCAATCTGCACAAAAGAAATGTGACCAGACTTCACCAGGATGTTTACATTTGGCCATATATAGATATGGTAACATTTGGTTATAACTGTCATTAACCGTTAATTATACAATCAGCCAAGCCTTTCATGCTTGTTAGGTCACCTGGGTAAATTTGTTTACTGAAGGTAATTACATGTGTTAGGGTCACGCTCATTGTGGTTTCCTAATTATCAATGGATCAGACCACATCAAATGTTTCGTCGCAGTGACCAGTCAATTAATTTTAATTTTTCTGTAGATTTTTTTTTTTTTAAAATCTGATCTCCAAAAAGTACCTGCGCCCTATACGCGAATATTTACGGTAGTCAAATCTGCCTATGTAGCTAGATCTGCCTGCACTCCAGTACCTGGCTGTGAAATTAACAGCTGTGAAACAAGTTTTCTAATTTAAATTAATCTTAATGGCCAGTATGGAAGAACACAAGAGGTGGTACTGTTTGAGGGAACCAGAGTACCTGGGAAGAACCCACTTTTTTGGCAGGTCTTGTGTTCTTTCAGGAAACTGTACCTTGAACATCAAGGTGACAAGCAAGTGTTACTACTTCTCTTCCCATACATCTATATTCTTGATTCTTCATTTTCAGAATCCTTAAGGATAATTTCTCGTTTAGTTATGCATGTCAATGAACTGCCACCAGACAAATATATAAATAAATTGAAATGTGTTCATGCTATAATATTCATTTAAAAATCTGACTAACAAAACATCAGTATTTTCTGAATAAAAACTCCATAAATACATCCTCAAGTTCGCTCACCTGAAATGACCAACTTGTGACTGTCCTTTCGTTTCTGATGACGTCACTAAATCACAGAGATGCTGGAGTTAGCTTACAGTGACCTAGACATTACATAAAATCAATACTTGAACGAGAATGACATCTTGATGAAAATTAAATCAAACAAATTCTTGTCGCGAATGTTTTGGATATGTGTGTTTATATGTGCACCGTTTTTAAATGGTCAGATTTAAGTTTTTATTGATAGAGACCCCTATTTTTTTTGTAAACTCCTTTTCATAACCGAAGCTATCTAACTGAAGTTGATTTTTCATCTCCCGGTCTACAACTCATTAAATAAAATAAGAAATGAGTCATCAAAAGTGATTATTTAAATGTCATAATTTTTTCAATATAAGAAGTGTATGTTGAGACTTTTGTAGCCAAAAGATTGTGAGAAGGCATGGCCTATTATTCACTGTTGGTTTTTATTCACATGACAGACAATGGAGGATATCTGACATGTAAAAATACGTTTTAAGAAATGAAACTAAAATTTCCAATGAAATGAATATTCATATTTTATAGTTGCTGGTTTAAGTCACAATTTTTAATTTTTTTTTCTCGAAGCATGACATAATACAGCAACAAATTATCCAGATGAAAGGTCAAGAATATCAATAGATCATGTGATATGGCTTGACAGAAAGGCTGTTCTGAAATTTATAACGGACAAGAAGTGATATCTAGACAATATATATTAAATATAGAGATCTTTTTCTACACTGATGATTTTTGTTTTGTTTTATTTTTTAAGTTTGACTTTATTTTGTTTATACCTGTCTGATTATTATTTACTTGATGTAAGTCTGTATATTTTTACTGTTAGGCATGGAAGATGGCATCCCGGGGAAACCCCACTAGAAGAGTTCAAGTCCCCTGTAGGTTTCTATGCAGGCACTGATCAAAACTGGGTTGTACCTGATTTCTGTAAGTACCGTTTTTTCTTAAATACACTCCATATAACAAGATCAATTTATTTTTGATAGCATGATTGTCACATTGTTGTTAAATTACCACCTGCTTGTTGTGTTATATAAGAGATGAGAGCCATGCATGTTGTACAAGATGAAGTGATTATGTTAATTTCTGATATATCCACAATAAAGGCCAGCAGACATTTTCTAGATCAATAAAATTTTATCAGTCATTTTCAGAGCTGACAAAGGCAATAGTATTTGTGTTTCTGAAATGAAAATGAGGCTCTGGACACCAGGTCCATATCTGAAATATAGACTCATTGTAACTATTAATACTGTATTGGTAAAAAATTTTTTGCACAGCTTCTTCAGTTTATGTGGAAAAAGGAATCAAGGGAATGGAGATTAACTTTGGACCACAACATCCAGCAGCTCACGGTGTACTACGACTTTTACTCAGTATGGATGGAGAAGTAAGACAACTTCTTTAAAAAAATAAAATTGTTTTACTTTCTTTTATTCAATATTCTGCTTTGAAACTTTTCTATAGCATATTGAGGAGTTGAGAAACCTTTTAAAACAGCTATGAAATCAGAGCCTTTGAAGGAATTTAAAGTTAGGACAATGTGGAAGATTAGCCATTTGGCTAAACATGTTTCATCCTCAATAAAGAATATGTATTATTATCATTAGTAGTAGTAATTCTTACCACTGATTTGAAATTCATCATATTTACTAATCTGGGTGAGGAGCCTGTCTCAGAGATGTGATAACTTGTGGTGTTTCTTGTTGTAGACTGTAGGTAGAGCAGATCCACACATTGGCCTTCTCCACAGAGGAACAGAAAAGCTGATTGAATACAAAACCTACCTGCAGGCGTTACCTTACTTTGATCGTCTTGACTATGTGTCAATGATGTGTAATGAACAGTGTTTCTCTCTGGCTGTTGAGAAACTCCTAAACATAGAGGTTCCTATACGTGCAAAGTACATACGTAGTAAGTACTTAATGTTAAATTTTACCTGATGATTTTCATGCACAAGAACTGCTCAAATGAGTGGTTCGGTTGTGATGTCATCGGTAGTTCAGCAGTGATGTTATCAATGATTCAGTGTGATGTCTTAAGTAGAGCTGAAACTAATGTTAGAACATTCGTGAATCAATACTTACTTCCTGAACATTTGAATAGTGAAGTGAAACAGTATTTGAAGATTTAGTACAATTTACCAGCAGTGATTTATCACAAAGATGGATAAACATTTAAGATTGGTTTAGGAACATTTCCAACTGAATTTAGAGAAATATAAAGCTGGATGTTAACTATGCTCAGTAGTTTTATTATATAAACATAACTAGTCATTTGAATGATGGAGATGCTTGAAAACAGCTGGTTACAAGTGCCCAAATGACTGATGAAATTGATCACAAGAATCGGTTGTTATGTCACTTTTTTTCAGCAAGTGGTTGTTATAGAATCAGTAAGCAAATGGTGAAGAATGAGAAACCCATTGCATTATACATCAAAAATAGATTATTTCTCAGATTTTCAAACAAATTATTCTATCTTCACTCTTTTGACAATGAAACAAACATGAGCGTGCCGATCGTGAGAGGTACAGAAATGATGTTCGCGGTGGTTCTTTGTTGATGCCATCAGTGGGTTAGTTACAATGTCGTCAGTGATTCATACGTATCACCACTGGATAAATTGTGATGTCATATGTTCAGTGGTGATGTCATCAGTGGTTTATCCTTGGTGCCTTCAATGGGTTAGTAATAATATATCTAGTGGTTCACATATAATGTCACTATCACTTCATTTGTGATTGACACCATTGGTTCAATGGTGATGTCCTCAGTGGTTCATAGGCGATGTCCTCAGTGGTTCATTGACGATGTCCTCAGTGGTTCATTGGCGATGTCCTCAGTGGTTCATTGGCGATGTCCTCAGTAGTTCATTGGCGATGTCCTCAGTGGTTCATTGGCGGTGTCCTCAGTGGTTCAGTCATGAGGTCTTCACTGGTTTTGTTAAGACCAATAGTTTCTTATACTTGTATTAAAAACATCTGTGTAAGTAGTTTAAAAACCAATTTCTTTTCATTTGATGTTATATATGCCTGGCATTGATCATGAAACGTCCAAAAGGTTTTCTGTAAAAGAAAATATAATTGAGATTTCAAATGTTTTGTTACAGATGATGTTTATGTATGATGTTGATTGTCATTTTGAATTAACGTGGCTCTCTTTTCCAGCATTGTTTGCTGAGATAACCCGTATCCTAAATCACATTATGGGTGTAGGAACACATGCTCTTGATGTTGGCGCCATGACACCATTCTTTTGGCTTTTTGAAGAGAGAGAAAAGGTCTGTCTTATTATCACAAATATATAAATCAAATTTCTCTTTAAAGTATTTGTTTTTCTTTTAAATTGAAAGCTCAGACGGAACTTTTAGAACACTTATAGAAAACTGATTCAGAGAACTTCTAAATTTGATATAAGGCACAGTATAGAGACAGAATTTCATTTTTAATGTGTTTTGTATAGAACTTGATGCAAAACAGTGCTTTAACCAAGCATTAACTAGAAAATGAGGTAGAAAGTGAAAGCTGGAAGACAGATTTTCAGAAATCTGATATGTAGGAAGACAAAACGAGTAATATTAAATATGTGTTAATACAAATGCAGTAATTTTTATAGAAATGTTTTGGCAAGTGCAGAACACTATTCAAAAATTAGTCTGAATACTAAAAGATATAGTGAGGTCTCAAGATTTGTGTGAATCTCACAGGAAAAGTATGAGTCCAGGTCTGAAATATTTGTGTCCCAAAAATCACTGACATATCAGAGACAGTTTTGTGTGCTTCTGAAAAAAATGTTCTACAAATTCACTATCAGAAACAGTCAAGTATTTGTGACACTTGCTTATGGTAGAGCTTCAGCCAGCAATGAAATATCAGTTTAAATCTGGAATAGAGGAAAATTGTGGAAATAAAAAAAACCCAATTTTATAGATTTCTAAATGGAGTTATTGTTCTTTCAATAAAAAGGGTTTAGTTGATAGATTTCCATGTTATGTAACAGATGATGGAGTTCTATGAGAGAGTATCTGGAGCAAGAATGCACGCAGCTTATGTCAGACCTGGAGGTGTGTCACAGGTATGTCTGTATAATTTTTTGAAAGTTCTTCAGAATATGAAATAATGAATTTGATTTCCTTGCTCGAACTTAATGCAATTGGTTTGGCATAAAAATTTCTGTAAATCTTAAGCCACCACCAAAATTTAAGAATTGACAGTACATGAATGTATTATACATACACTGTATATTTGAAGTTTGAAACGTCCCATATTTATGTTCTTCTTGGTCTGTCTTTGTCATTAATCAGTTGGTATGTCCTGTAATGGCTGATTCAGATCCATAGAATATTGTTATCACTACTATTTGGTTGTTTGAATCAGGGCTTTTGGGGCTGGAAATGGGCCCAGTTCCAAAATGACACTATTTCATATTTGAGCCAAATTTTCAAAATTTTCCAATTTACTTCTGAAACTTTCCTTCCTATTGCACTTACAGTGAAACCTCGCTATTAAGACCACTTTGGAGACTGGACAAAAGTGGTCTTAATAGCAAGGTGGTCTTAATAGCGAGATGGATCAGATTGCTTTCCAAATTGAGGCAAAAATGCCCAATACTAATCTAGTGAAATAGCACTGACTGACACAAGCCTTTATGTCAATATATATAACTATAACCTGTAAAGTATACAGAGGACTATTTGGTCATACATATAAATTATTGTCGTTATTCAATATCATCTGGATCTCTACAGGACTTGCCCCTCGGACTTTTGGACGACATCTATGAGTTTATTGAAAAGTTTAACCAGCGTCTGGATGAGGTGGAAGAGCTACTTACCATGAACAGACTTTGGAAACAGAGGACAATAGATATTGGTATCGTTTCTGCTCAGGATGCTATGAATTTTGGCTTCAGGTAAGCACTTCTATCTTACGAAGAACCTAACATTTTAGAAGCTCTGAATTTTGGCTTCAGGTAAGCAGTTCTATCTTACAAAGAACCTAACTTTTTAGAAGCTCTGAATTTTGGCTTCAGGCAAGCAGTTCTATCTTACAAAGAACCTAACTTTTTAGATACTGGGAGCCAGAACATCCATAAGTTAAAGTTCAATGTCACTTTTTGAAATTTTAATTCTCGCCCAAATTTTGTCATAAATGAAAGTTTATAGTGTCATTAGTCATGATGATACTTGTTATATATAGAAGATACCTTTTCCTGGTAATTTCTAGTTGGAGGATGGACTATTTTTACGCTACATAAAGTTATATTCTGATAACTGCTAGCTTTATTTCTTTATTCCAATACATCATACACAGCATCTTTAAGTGCCCTTAGTATTGGAGTCCCAAACTCTTGGTTTGAAACAGATAACTCATCACAAATTTCAGTTTTTCTGGACCAGTGCTCTGAATCCATTAAAGACAAATGCTCAAAACATTTTACACATAATAAGCTAGTAGTATCTTTTGCTATTGGGAAGTTCTCCATTTAAATACTTTTTTGTTACCATAGAAACAGATAGGCCAAATCAATTGTCCATAAACAATTTCACTGATGAAATTTTTGCAGAAACCTTCCCTGACCTAAGATGAACCAAAATTGTGAATTATACAGTCCCAATCCCCCAGGGGCCTGAGGGGAGGGGCCAAAAAGGGTCCAGTTGACTTAAATTTCAAAAATCTTCTCTTCAAGACCCAGATATGGTAGAATCAAATACTCTTCATGAATGGAAACATCTTAGGGTGCTTTACCAAAGCTATGAATTTCATGGCCCCAGGGACTCCCATATCGCTGTGGGGAGGGGGTAAAGTTTACTACAGTTTATGTAGGAAAACTAAATTTTTGAGTTTCGATTTGTTTAATTTCCATTGGATATATTTTAAACCTGGTTAGAATTATGAATGAAGGATGACGACTTGATCGTATGCCCACTTAGATCCTGACTGACCCCAAGGGGCTGATGGATGGGGCCAAAAAGTTATCAAATTGACTTAAATTTCAAAGATCTTCTTCTCCAGACCCAGATATGGTAGAATCAAATGAATGCTCTTCATGAATGGAAGCATCTCAAGGTGCTTTAATTCCCAAAATGAGCCTCATATTTCTTCTTGGGGAGGAATTTTTTTTTTAGAGTTTACTGTTATTTACATAGAAAAATAGTATTTTTGAGCATAACGTTGGTTATTTTCCACTGGAAATAACTTTATAAGAATTATCAGTATAGGATGACAGTTTTGATGGAATACATGTATTGACACTGTCTATATTCAATGTCAAAATTTCTGTTTCATGACACTTGTCGTGCATTGTGTTATCTTGTTGGTATATTCTTTGTTGAATTATCAATATTTGTACTCTCACTGCAAATCTTGTATCCTTAGTGGCGTGATGTTGCGAGGTTCTGGCATTAAATGGGATCTGAGAAAGGTGCAGCCTTATGACGCCTATCATTTGGTGGATTTTGATGTTCCTATTGGCGTAAATGGCGACTGTTATGACAGGTAATGAGTCACATGGGTTTCATAGCCTTCAAATCTATCTGTACTTTTAAATTAATATTACTTCTGAATATAAATAAACCTACGTTGTTTCACTCATTACCAATAAATGTGAGCAAATTCTGTTCCCTGGCATCAGCATTTCTGTCTTATCCAAAATTTACAAGTGATTTAAATGGACTAAATGGTTAGATTACGTTATTTTTTCCATGCGTTTGATTGTGGACAAACATAGTAATAATTAGAATCAAACAATTTACAAAATTACAACACTCCCTTAGAAAATTTTATAAAGATTATCAGCTTCAAACTAACACTAGTCAACACTCGCTGTTTTATTTCTCTGGAAAAGAGATTTGTGAAAAAAATTTCTATGGCATCTAGGGGGGAGCATGGTACTAGTAATAACTGATTGCACATGATTTTATGTGCAATATTTCCTGGTTTTCAACATTTAACCTATCTTCACCTGCTTTTGTGTCTGCTGTTTAGAACAGATTGTGTATTATATGGCTGTTAATTGATGCTGTCATTTTTCTGATAGATATCTTATTCGAATGGAGGAGATGAGACAGAGTTTGAGAATTATTCACCAGTGTTTGAACGATATGCCTGAAGGTGAAATCAAGGTGGATGACAATAAAATTGTGCCCCCAAGTCGAGCTGAAATGAAGGTAATTTACATGTTTCTAATATACACAAAACAATGATGGTTTGTTTTTGTCTGTTTTACAAGCTCCTTTGTTAGCCTAATCTATGCAAATTTTGACTATATTGATCAGTGCTGAGAAAAACATCCTGTTGTAACTGTAAAATATATTGCTCTCTTAGAAAAAATTAATTTGGCCTTCTGTCTTAATTTTGAAACATTTTAACTTTGAATTTGCCTTACCTATACCAGGGTCATGTTTTCATTTCTTTACAAAGAATAATAGTTAATTGACACACATTAATTGATTTGAGTTATCTCCCTTATAAAACTATTCAAATATGTTCAAAACATGTGTGAAGGATTACTCTACCTTCTTTTCACACTATTTGTTTTGCAGTTGTTATTTTAATGGTGGGGATGGGGAGCATATTGTTTTGCTTATGTCTATCTGTTCCCTCCAAACATATCGCATTCTGCTCCAAATCAATATCATCTTAAGAACATGTCAACAGATTTATTTTGTGTTTACTTCTTAGTATCATTATCATGTTCTCCACCTGATCAGATTCTGGTTTATTTATAGGAGCAAGATATTCATGCAGGGCTCTGGATCTGCCAGATTTGGGGCCGATATTCGGCCCCATTCCCAATGCAAAATAGTATCTTTTTTCCCAATTTAGACCCCAAGTTTTCACAATTCTAAGGAAAACACCATTATTTTTCCCAATTCTAAGGGCCCCGGGCCCCAGTCCCAAAATGGGGTGTGAGAGCCCTGTCATGGGATGTTTTCTACTTAGCATCAACTGATGAGTCCTAGAACAACTATTTGATTTGTGTGCCTTTTACAGAATCTTCTTACAAATTTTAAATTTCACATATTTTCTTCCCATTAATTGTTAATCATGTGTGTGATTGAACTAGAATGAATTCTTAAATCCTAATGGATTTTAATATTTTGTTTTTTATAGTCATCTATGGAGGCCCTTATCCATCATTTTAAGTTATATTCTGAGGGAATGCGTGTACCTCCTGGTTCTACTTACACTGCTGTAGAAGCACCCAAGGTAAAATATATTGAATCTTGTAGTTAAGAGTATAATACTATATATTGGGAATGAAGACTGGTAATGTAAACAAGACATATGGTCGGATGTCAAACAGCAGACCAGACAATGGTGTCCCAAACAGGAGTCGTTGATGTCCCAAACAGGAGTCCTTGGCGTCCCAAATCTATTCTGGATTGATCTAGGTCATCAAAATGGTTGTACTGTAAAATCAGTCGCTTTCAGAGAGTATCTATGTCCTTTTGAATTTATGAATACTCTAGATCCACAAATTTTTATATCCATTAAATGATAAACAGATTTAACTTGACATGAATTATAGTACCCAGGTACTTTTTATTTTGTGAGCAAGGCTTATGCATGAAGTCAGTGCCAAAGAAAATGCATGTTCTTAGAAAACCATGAACTTTGGGCTCCAACAGTTGTTATTGTTGGACTACAGCATGTGTTATTATAAATTTGTATTGATAGTTGATATTCTTTTGTCATCCTCACTACTCCAGGGGTTACAAACACTTTTGCTCACTGCACCCCTGGAACCATCCTTGATACTCGAGGTGTTACAAACACTTTTTCTCACTGCACCCCTGGAACATGTCATGACAAAATTGAAAGCACAAGCGAAGTAAGTTGATTGGTTCCAGGAAAAAAAAAATCAAACTAACCAATCACCAGCTGATATGCTCCTTCTAAAGATTACAAAGGTGCGACACCCAACTTCAAAGCCATTACAATATACTATTATGAGACTTCAAGATTTGTTTGATGTGCATCAAAGAATCAAACTAGCCTTTTCATCTTGTTCACAAGGTGTCGGACAAGGAACCTTCAATTTTACCTTGACATGTTCCAGAGATGCCAAGAGTGAAAGTAACCCCTAGAGTTTCGAGGATGGTCTGTTTTTTGTCATGTGTAGGACCTTGTACATATGTGAATATACCGATCAAGACTTTGTACAGCTAAAATGGAATTGATTTCAGAACACTTATTTTCTGAATTTCACAGGGTGAGTTTGGAGTATATTTGGTATCTGACGGTACAAACAAGCCCTACCGGTGTAAAATCAGAGCTCCTGGATTTGCACATTTGGTAAGTCTGTGAACAACTTTCTGGTTTGATGGTGGTTTTATTTTGTATTACATAAAAATATTTCAGGAAAATAATGTAAATAATCTGATTATAGGTTATTTTTGTTGTGGTATGAAAATTGGACAAACTCTGCTTTTTCTATGATTCAGCTTTTTGATATAATTTAACCTTTTGTAATTGTAACCTTCAGAAATAATGCAAGTCCCAGCTGGTGGAAAGAAAGTGAGGACTTTAGTGTCACATACAACTAAGACCCAAACAGATCTATTCCAGGGAAAAAAACGAGAAAAATATATTCACTCTGCCACATCAATTTATCATCTGCTTATTTTTCATGTAGTTGATGTTACATTGTACAATATACATTACTGGTAGGCCAGATATATGCCAGGCATTTTCTCTTAGCTGTTGTCAGTTTTTACTCCCAGTTTACTTCACAGACAGATCTTATTGTGTTGTTTGGTTTACTCCGCAGGCGGCTTTGGACGTGGTCGGTAAGCGACACATGTTGGCAGACATCGTTGCCATTATTGGTATGTGATTGTTTAATTGTTTAATCATTAATGTCCTATATAATACTATGACATGATAAAATACACATTGATGAACGATCATTGATAATGTTATTCATTTACCTTAATTTATTGGTAAAAATATTCTCTTTTTTCAACATGGGTTCATCAGCATTACAGTTAATTTTTCAAAATTTTTACTTTGATTCAAAATTTAATATCTCATCAAAAAGTTCAAGCAAAATGATATATTTTTTAACCAAGTCTTGAAACAAATTATTATTTTCTTTATAATTTTTTTTTCTTGTTTTTTTATCTGTATAAATCTTTTTTGAATCATTTCTTGATTTTGGTGTACAGTCCATTCTTGAAAAAAAAAATTGAAAAAAAAAAACGAAAAATTGGAACTCCTCAGATGACAGCCATGTCAGGGAATTAGTTGGTATATGTTGTGCAAAAGAGGTTTTTTGTAAATTCTGTAATATTGTCTAAAGTTAGGTACATTTGCAGCAACATTGATGCTGATAAAGATTTCCTTTCTGTCACAATTAGGTACCATGGATGTAGTGTTTGGCGAGGTGGACAGATGAACTGGATCAAGACCAGTGTGTACGGATGTGTGTATTTAAACTGTTTCTTGTTCAGATATTCACTTCTATACCCTTTGATTTGCAATGGACCTGCCTACTTTAAAGGTTTTGGTACTGTCCATTATAACAGAGGGGAAAGAGGGCTGTAGAGACATGTGAATAACAGTCCTGTGATAAAATAGGGAAATTTTTGATGAAGTACCGAAGAAAAATGATCTTCGTCACATTCAACAAAAAGAACTTCCATATAGAAAAAATTACTAAAGTAAAAATAAATTTGAAAAGACATTTATCAAAGACAGAAAATGCCTCATGTCATCAAGTTTTAAAACAGCTTTGGAGAGAGAAGATACATTATTTTACATGTTTGTGGAATATTTTCTGTTTTGTGTGGAAGCATTGTTGTTATGTGATATACAATTTAAAAGCTTAGTTTTCAAATTAACTTGTGTGTTGATTTAAACACAAGGGCAAATGAAAATAAAGAAATGGTTGAATAGGCCTCTTGTCTGTTTTGTATTTTCGAAGTCCGACCACTTATTGAAAAATCCGAAAACGTTTTAGGTGTAATGTATCCTTCAATTATTTTTTATTCTAATTGTAAGTATAGTAACACTTGTTAATAACTAATTCCTTGGGACCAGAGGAAATTATTTGTTATATCCTAAACTTATTTCAGGATTGTTAGCATTCTTAAAGGTTATGTCGCCCGTACAGGTATTTCAACTCATCTGATTTTAAACAATTTCACATCTCACATAAAAGCTCAAAAATTAACACAGGGACAAATATTTGAAGACAGGTATCAAAACATTCAATTGTTTTTATTTCATTTAAGGAAACTTTCAGAAAGAAGTCATTTGTGATTTCCTGATTTTTAAATTTTTTTTCGAAATATGAATCAAAGCCTGAATGACTGCTGTTAAATCTGATGGGGGTGTTCTCTCTTGAGCCCAACAGAGAAATCAATATAAAGCTTTAATTAGACATACTTTACACAATTTCCATTTTAATTGTATCAACATCATCATGTCAATATTCACATTTATCATGATGTTGTTGTTATTTACTTTTTTAGTTCACCTGGCCCGAGATGTAACTGTTAAACATGGTAGTAATTTTTCCAGTACTCTTACGAAATAGTGTTTATAATTCAATCAAATCCTACATTAAACTATAGTAATAGATGTGTATATACATGATGGTATTCAAATAAAAGAATGTTCAAGAAATATTTACAAACTGAAATATACAAATAATTCTCCAGTTTTATATCATTAAATGGATATCATGGGAATAAGGAAAAAAAATTAATATATGTTATATTCATTGACAAAAACTGAAATACTGACTCTCATCTATTTTGATACTAAGATAAATGTATTCTATGGGCATATTTAAAACACGATGTTTATTAAATCAATGTTATCAAATTATGGTTACAAGTGTCCTATTGATATTCATGAATGATGCCCGGATCAAAAAATAGTGATGATTGAACACAGACTATTATTATTATTAATGATTTAAGGTTCTTAAATAATTTGTTTCATACATCATAATTTATCACTCTTATTGGTATTTGCATACAGTAAATGATTCACTTTAAACCTACTTATTGAAAAGCTACTACATGTATGCCAACAGAAAACCATTTAAGCTGCTTGGTTAAGGAAGCTATCTGGCCGAGAAAGAAAAAGACCATTGGCAAGTCCCTGATTTAGGTTGGCAAAATATTTACCTTTAAACGAGTTAGAAACACTCCCTTTGTAATTTTTACCAGGTATGAAGTTGTGCCACACATGAGTGACTCTGTATTATTTTCAATAGTAGATGATATATATAATTTGTACTCATTATTCAGTAGGTTAATATTGATTTTGCACAAATGAATTTAATGGTGCGTTTTATGTATTACGTGGGCACCTAAGTGTTAAAATTCCTTCAAATTAGAAATTCAAAGGATCAAACTGGTCTGTTCGTCTAGTCTACAATGTGTCGCACATGGAACTCTCAATTTTGCCATGACATGTTCCAGGGGTGTCAAAGAGCGAAAGTGGACATTTGATGTCGTGGCTAGATACATGTGTATACCCCGATCATTCTTCATATATATATTATAAGTACGCTTTGACATACAGATTCTTGATTTTCACATCACCCCCCGAAATCAACGATAAGGAAATTCCACGAAAATAAGTGACTTTTCATTATATAATGATAGATTGCTATCAGTATTCCCTGTTTGTAATCTTATGAAAGAACAATTTTTCATATTTTTCTATTCGAAAAGTTATTTCCAATTTTTGTCTTTAAATAAAAACTTATTTTTTCATTATTTTTTATGATTGAGACTACAAGTTTCTGTCTTTATCCCTGTATTTAATATGAAATGTCTAAACTTCTCACTGATATTCATCTAAAGCGTTGTTCTCTAGGAAAACTATATCAATACCAAATATAAAGCCAAGTATTGTTTAAAATGTTGTCGTAAAAAATATAATTTGACAACATGAAAATATAAATTATATAAATCTTAAAGCTGTTTATATCTATCACTTTTGTAGACCAGAAATGGTCACAGGTCTTCTAGATGAAATTCAAATGTATTACTACTGCACTTCATGGCCATCAACCGATCTCTTACAAATTGTACCCTGATAGTATTTACATAAATATACTAATTATTTAAAGCTATGGAGAGAAAAAAAAAAGAGGGAAAAAAAATAACTTTTATATTGGCTATTAAAGATAAAAGTGAAAACGCATCTAATACACATGATTCTTATCGGATACCCTTTTTCGTGTAATTATACACTTATATATTGCAGACACATTGTGCCGTGTAAGGTAAAGAACCTTTGCTGTCATATTGTGCTTGTACGGTCGTTATCCTTAATATTAAATGAAACTAGATTATATTACTCTCAGTAAAGTGTTAACTTAGAAGAGCTTACTACCGGCTCCACTTGACCGTCACTGTGTGGGAAAGGTTGCCCATGAAAGTCATGTTGCATGAGCTTACCGTCAATACATATGGCTGTCAGTGATTGGAAGTTAAAACAGTGATGTGAACGATCAATGCCATTTCTCATAAACTGATCTTATATTTCAACTGACATCAGAAACTTATCTGACTACTGACAGCAAAACATACAGAAATAGATTTTAATGCCGATCTATTTTTAACAAGTAGTAATCTGGAGATTGCTTTGAAAAGTGCAATATACACCATTATTTGATTATTTCCGAAGGCAGATCGCCCATAGATTTTTTACATTACACGAATATATAGGATCTGAAATGAGATATCTTTGGTAAGAAAATATCAAAACTTCGATACAAGTTTCATAAAATGTGATTTGCATCAGAAAAAAACTTAAATACTTTATCATACATCTCAGAACAGATGTATACACGTGTACAATACGATAGCGAATGTAAATTAAAATGATACCAGTTGGGGAAATGGTTTTACATACTTCCAGGACAAAAAGAAACTCAAGGAAACAAGACCAGAAAGTGTAAGTGTTTTCTGTTTCATCAACGACACCTGTTATGCAAAACTTGGTGAATCTGAGTATGTAGTAGGACACTCCACTCGTGAAGGAATAGTTCCGAGTATTCTGGACTCAGACAGCTTCGCGTACAAGAGTTTTATTGCCAAAACTAAACTTGTACAGCCCTGTAGTCCAGAACTATATGTCGAAGTATAACCTACATTCTTCACTTTGTTTCACATGTCAATATCATTCATTCATTGGTAACGGAGGAGCTTACAAAATTTGTGAACAGGAGAGAAACGGTGGTTCTTACCAATTAAACTTGATTGCAAGGTTTATAGAAACAGTTCGTATTTTCTGTTTCGATATGCCTTTCGCTGCTGTTTTATTATTATTTTTTTTGTAGATTCTAATCTGACTTATTTACCAGTGTCACGCGTCTCAATTTCGCTTCGCATTTACTGATTTATTTCTGTAGTGCACGTCCACTGTAGTGTAGTGTCGAGCTGTCTACTTCGTACAGCAGGGATTCATTTCGTAACAAAACAAAAATGTAGCAGCCATTTCATATTACTCCGTGTCCTTATCACCATGGACACGATACTAAAAACGATGGTAACTGTAGTCATGGCAACCAAATGCATAACAGGTAAGTACGATCTATCTTCATCTAGACTTTCTTTATATTTATATATATATATATATCACTTCGCTGATTGAAAGATAATCCATATCATCATCATATTAGTTAATATTTATACAACTTATTTACCACCGTTAGTCTGATATCTACAGGGTTATAACACACAACTTATTTACCCCCATTAGTCTGATATCTACATGGTTATAACACTCCAATTATTGACCTCCATTAGATTGATATATACAGGGTTATTACACACAACTTATTCACCTCCAATAGCCTGATATCTACAGGGTTATTACACACAACTTATTTACCTCCATTAGTCTGATATATACAGGGTTATAACACTCCAATTATTGACCTCCATTAGATTGATATATACAGGGTTATTACACACAACTTATTCACCTCCATTAGTCTGATATCTATAGGGTTATTACGCACAACTTATTTACCTCCATTAGTCTGATATATACAGGGTTATAACACTCCAATTATTGACCTCCATTAGATTGATATATACAGGGTTATTACACACAACTTATTCACCTCCATTAGTCTAATATCTACAGGGTTATTACACACAACTTATTTACCTCCAATAGTCTGATATATACAGGGTTATTACACACAACGTATTCACCACCGTTAGCCTGATATATACAGGGTTATTACACACAACTTATTTATTTCCATAAGTTTGATATCTACAGGGTTATTACACACAACTTATTTACCTCCAATAGTCTGATATCTACAGGGTTATTATACACAACATATTTATTTCCATAAGTTTGATATCTACAGGGTTATTATACACAACTTATTTACCTCCACCGGTCTGGTATCTAAAGGAATATTACTGACAACAACTCATTCACGTCCACTGGTCATATATCTACAGTTTTTTTCATAACAAGAATTTGTTTACCGTCCCTGGTTTTATATCGACATGGGAACTTATTATCTTTGGTCTTTTTATACAACCATTTAAGGCACGAACCCATTTACCGCCCCTGGCCTGATCCAGATGGAATACGGATTGGATAATACGCTGTTGAGCGCATTTGATGCAAACACGGTCAGTATTGTTTCATTATTACTGTATTTATCTATGATTGACGTTGCCTTTGTTCTAAAGTGTATTTGGAAATCTCGCAACACTTTATAATATATAGGGATGGACCAGGGTTCTAGTTTGGTTTAGTTTATTGAGAGTTGTTACCCTATCAGTAGTCATGGTCATTCACCTTTTGGCGGTGAAGAGAAAGTCTGGGTACTATAGGATAAACCACCGACTTGCTTACTACCCGGCGTAAACCATGAAACCGCAACCCAGACATGGAGGCTTTGTAATGAAGTCGTCAGACGTCCGAACCACACGGACACAAGATGCCAAGGGTTCTGGACCAGCCTCTTGTTTATATATGACCAACTTACCACAGTAACTTGCATCTAAATAAAACAGGGAATAAATGCAAAAATAAATATCACATTTAAACGAAAAAAGTGTGTTTAATCCTGTTTTACCGATTTAGAAGAAGTTTAAATTCAGATAAGGGAATCTTCTTTCTGTGTTTTCTGACAAAACAAAAGCATCAGATTGTAAATGCGACGAAGATGCTGCATTTTTAATATATCTGAAATGACGTCTTCACAGACCGAATCTCGTACTTCCATGTTTACTTACTTCTGGTGAAATATAAATGATAAACTTATTCATATGTTCATAAAATTATATCAAAATATGTTGAGAAACGGCTGAGATATACTAGTCGTGCAATGAAGAATTAATCGTCAGGTCATAGCTTTGGAACCGAAACTAAGTGATAATGTCTCAAAGAAGTGTTATAACAATCACATTATCAATTTATTATTGCTTAAAAATACTAAAATTTCATACTTTTATATTTTCTATTGACTATTTGAATTAGGAGACAAAAACTCACCTTGCGGAATACCCAGGCAGGAAGTTCAATTTTCTGTCGGTGTACCCTCTGGGACAGGCGTGTGTTGTATTTGACGAACGAAGCAAAGCGATTTGTGTAAGTATATATAGTATACAGATGCTATACATAGATATGAGTGGGTCACAACACTTACATCTAGATATGCAGGGGGGCACAACACTTACCCAAGGTTTGCCGTAACTTGATTGCCATGGTTTTATACACTGGAATGTTAACAAAGTTCAGAATATACGCATATGCTTGTCGTTCTACTGATATTATCAGATATATAAAACTTTTGAAATTTGTTAATTTTAAGGCTGACAGATCCACTCTTCCAACTAAAATATGATATTTTTTCGATCACTTTTGAATTTTGCTCAGTCACCTCCTAACGTGTAGTAAATAATTGCATGATACAATTCATTCTGATATCTGGCTCTACGCTATCTTATTCTAAGTTTGTATTAAACGATTCTTCTCACTTTGTCTTTTTTAAACAATCGTTGTTAATAACACAAAGACTATCAACGAGTCCAAATTTCATACCCGATACCTTAGAGTTGTCATTGTAGTTTTCACTGATTATATTTTCGCGATCACGTTAACATGCCGTGAAATAGCGAAAATATTATCCCCACAAACACAACCGACTCCACGATAATACGGTATATGTAGGTAACATAAAAGTATGTTTCTAGGAAACAGTTGCAATAAACAGGTTGGTCGCACAATGGCCAAATTATATATTTCTTTCTTATAAACATTATGCTTTGATTTTCAGAAGGTCACTTATAGTTATGGACTATGGCATCAACCTGTGTGTACAGAGACGTTTGGAACCGTCAATGGTAGGTAGGTGTTTGGAATCAAAACGGTTGAAATTGTTGTAAAACCCCTAAAAACTAGAAAACGAGCTGATCTCAAAATATAAGCATTTCCTTGAAAAATAAGGCTGTAGTTCTTATATAAATGAGCCCAAATTTGCTAAGAGGTAAAGAAAATCAGTCTTGCCCGAGTTTTCAGAGTACAGAAGTTACAGAACAAAAATAGCAATATATTAATATCATTTGAAATTATAATTGAAATGCATGTAACTTAGAAAGAATTTTATAAATACTCAAACTACGACAATCGTAGAGCTTGCCGTCCGTCATATTGTTGCCAGTTTTTAACACCAGTTTTATTGATCTTAACATTCGCTTATTCTATGTTTCCTGCCGAAAATAAAATATTATGTATTGATAACACAATAAATATATGTTGTGTATTAACATCAGGGTTTTATATATAAGATACGTTACTTAGAAGTAGACATATATCACTTTGTAGGAGGTAATTGCAAGATGGCAGTGGACATATAAAAAACGACATAACATCAGAATAATTCGGATTAATCGTAAGATAAATTTCGTTTAAACACGGACAATCTGTTCTAACTTTACCTTAAAGGACTGGACATTGATGACGTCAGAGGTCTCGTTTTCTGGACCGACCAAGATTTTAACGCTATTATGATGGCAAGAATCTCGAACCTGACCCAACACAGCGTGATTGTGGACTCGTTTTTGGATACACCAGGCGGTATAGCTGTACACCCAGAGGCTGCGTGAGTCACTTGACACCCCTGTCTTTATTGATAAAGAAATAAATCGCGTGACATATTTTTAAAACTGTTTAAGGTGCGTTAGTTTTTTGGGAGATTAACTACTGTCCTAACAACCATATTGGCGTTAATTGCAATCTTCCTCTTCCGTTGTGATATCTTCTTCTGTGGGCAAATAGAACATGGTTCCATTTCGATGACTGGTTGACTATATGTAGTCGATGTCGTTCAGAACTTTTTTTGCCCTATTTTTATTGCATTCAAGTTTGTGTTAGACATGTTGTTATTTTCTTGTTGTCGTAGCTCTGCATATCATGTTAAGTTTTTTTTTCGTTCAAGTATAACTTTGCATTTGAATTTTCTGTTCAATATTGAAAATGAAAGAAAAATATCGACGTTTTGACACAATTCTAATTCTTTCTCAAAATTGATGACACTAAGGGTGTACACAATGAGTATGAAGAAACTTGTATATCCTTACAGTTAAACGTGTTCTGAAATGAGAATAAGTTTTACTTTTATAAGGAATTGCAGGATCATTTTTGCCAACTTACAACATTTTTTTTTCATCACCATTATTAGTTATTTTTAGTTCTACAAACAATATTTTTTTATCCCAACCAGATTGACATTTTAACTCTACGATCAGCATTTTTTGGCAGTTCGCCAAATGCTTGTCTGCAGAAGTTCTGATTTGCCAAAATAATAATTTATTTATCCCATTGAATTTGTTACTTTGACAACAATGATCATACATATGAATATGTAAAGGATTATGTTAATTTTTTTTTTTTTTTTTTTGTGTAGCTTATTATTTTGGACCGATTTTGGAACTTTGCCAAAAATTGAGCGATCAACTCTGATTGGACGTGAACGAAGGACTCTTGTAATAGGGGGCACGCCGTATATGTTAACACTTGACAGGGCTGGAAACAGGTAGAGCATCCCTTTGATGGTATTTAATATTAGTCCTTACTAATGTTCTTTAAGAAATCATATTCTCTTTCTCATAATGAATCTATTCTTTTTCTTATAATCAGGGCATCGAATTAAGTTTGAAATTTTATTATATTGCTTTTTATTTTCTTTTGAATTGAATAAAATGTTAAAATTCATGCTATTGTGATATCACGTTGGCAGTATGGTTCAATGATTAAGAAATATGTATAAAAACATTCCATTTGCCTCGAATGCAAACATAAGTAAATATGTCGAGCATTTTTTATATCCCTCGGTCGCATCCTGGGTTTTAAACTCTAGGTCCTTAACAATAGTACTGATTAGTTCTAGAAGGACGAAATCGCTGTTTGCTACTGTTGAATTCATTATTTTACTCAACTATATCTAATCTTAAATTTGTATTGAAAGGTGTTACTTATTTGTGTGTCTTTTCTACAATTTGTTGAAGAACAATGGTGCATTGTTGGAATATATAGATTTTTCCCAAGGCATTCCCTAATGCATGCAATTTTAACTGCAAGGTATTTATTTCTTGCACTTTTATTCCTTGTTGGGGAAAAGAGGAAATCTTCCCTGAAAATAGCTTTCTTTTATAATAAGTATTTAACCAAGTGGTGGTATGTATTGTTACACATAGGAACATATTTACAATTATACTATATGGTGAATTAACAGATTATTCTGGGCCAACAAGGCCGATAACTCTATCGAGTCATGTGACACGGAAGGAGAACGGCGCCATCGAATGCCCATTAGCACTGACAGAGCGACAGCGTCTTTTGTCTGGAACAGTCTAGTTGCCTATCAGGTGAGAATCGGGGTAAATTTATTCAGAAGTTTATCGATATAGTTGATTCGCTGAAATTTGCCCCTAACCGTCTGAAGAAAACAAACCTATATTTCCAAGGTAGATACAACATCAGCACAAAGTAGTGTAAATTACACGAAAAAACTGTAAACAAGCTACCTGTGCATCACCTTTTGCAAATATATATTTTTGTTATTTAAAGTTACTAGAAAAAACACCTACTAAATCGTTTGGAAATTGTTGGAACACTTTACCTTAATTGATATAATCATAAACAGGATAAATGAAAAAATACTAGACTCCGCATCTACAAAGTTTTCTATCCTGCTGTCACACAGCTGAAACATAAATAATTTCAAATAATTTCAAAACCGTCTCATACGCTAGGGCCGGTTGCTAATGGCTTGGAAGGACAATACTCTGACCGGTGCTCTTTCTGTTGGACTTGGTGCAGAAAACCAACGAATGCAGTCTTTTTCTACACACTACCAGTGTATTGCAGTCGTGCGGCAGCAACCGCAACTTCAGGGCATAGAGGCGGGTAGGTTGTATACTAAGACAAAGAGGAGGATAGGTTGTGTACCAGGGCATAGAACCAGGTAGGTTGTATACTAAGACAAAGAGGAGGATAGGTTGTGTACCACGACATAGAACCAAGTAGGTTGTATACCAATGCTTAGAGGGGGATATGTGTACAGATGAAATTATCCTTTTGCAATCTATTTTAAGATAAAGTCTCGACAATAATACCCAAAATAAGCATACCACCATATCAAGTTTTCATATTTGCCTATGTTGGCTATATTTGACAGGTATCAGAAATTTAAAAATAACAGCCGTATATTTGTTTTTTAATTTTATATCACATTTATGCTTACGATAACCTAATGAAAGACTAATACATGTGTCTCTACAATCAGTAGAAAACAATGTTAAAAGTATCAATATTTACCAATTTATCAACATAATCATAATTCAAATTCAATTCCATTAATCTTGGGTAAATTATGAACAAAGGAAAGATTTACTAGGAGGCTCCTGAAATAGTACAAGGAGAATAAGTCAAGGTGTTCCGGAAGAGTAAACGTCTTCTGCTTCAACGACGACACCCGCCATGTAAATCTTGGTCGTTCCAAGTAAGTAATGTCAAATTTTCAAAGGAGATCAAGGTATACACCAACGGAAACAACAGGCAAATTAAAACAGCTTTATTTGCATTAAATGGTGCCTTTCTCTTGTGTTCCAAACTTCGATCTATGTTGCAGCTGGTAATCACTGTTGGTGGATGTTTTAGTCATCGAGGTTTGCTGTAATCTGCATGCTGGTTTTTAATTCGTTCATTCAAATAGTGGCATGGTTTAGAATATGCATATGTGATTAGCGTTCTTCTGAAATTACCTTATAAATGAAAATTACGAAATTTGTCGAACTATAGGGATTGTGCTCCTGCCCACTTCGATTTTGACTTTTTCCGATTAGTTTTGTTCTCGGTCAACTTCTAGGTTTCGAACTGCATGTCCTTAGCATCACTGACGCGTCCTTGAAGTAAAACAACGAAGCATGATGCAGTTAAATTCATTGTTTGGCACTTAATTTTTCTAATTTTAAATTTGAATGTTCATTAAATATTGAATAGTTCAAACAATTACACGTGACATTATTCATTGTAAGGGCAAAATGATAATTAAAAACGTCATCAGAAATATGTTTTACTACGATTTCGTTGCTTATTACAATTTTTGTCTGATATATATACAAGCCATTATTTTCCCTTACTTCCAGAATGTGTGGATTGTTTCTGTCGCCTTCGTTCTGTGTACGTTAATAGGACACTTACCAGAATATGTGGTATGGTCATCTGTTGTTATATTAAAGTATATTCGCCTGACATTATGTCATATCGTCACACATATTTCCATGCATGATATATCTAAGTTCTTACACCTTCGCCTCATCCCAATCTTATTCCAGACCATCTTCAACCCTTCCTCACCAACACTATACCCCTAACATACCCACCTCGACCCAGCCAAGCCCCGCCCACACTGTACATGTTTGTGAGATATTTCTGTTATAATCTGATAAAATTTACATTCAACAGACACTTTCTGCTAGACTGCGTTTTCCCGTGGTGTATTCTAGCGTACATTACAGCACTGGAAGTTTACAGAGTACCATATGGTTTGTCTTGATGACAATTAGTACTTTTCGGCTTCATTACATACTATTATATATTATATATAATAAGTTTACTTAGATATAAAGCATGAAAAGTATGATAACTTTCGCATGACTTGAACAAGGTCACTCGCATTACTGATTTCGTTTCAGCATCTGAATATAGCTCACATGGTTACATGTTCTTCACTACTTCAAGAGGCCTACATCGTATGGATGTGTATCCACTTACTACATCACAAACTCCGCATGCGACCCTTGTTTTCCATGGCAACCTAACTGTGTTCACTACTGACCCAGTCAATGAGAAGATATTCGCATACAGTCGTGACAACAAGGTGAGTTATGATGTAACTATATACAAAAGTGATATACGGAAAGTAAAAAATGTGTAATAATGAACATATTTCATCACGCGTGGAATACATTCATGTGTTTGACATGTTTGAAAATGCTTAATCAAATTTATTTTTCTCGAAACGATGGAATGAATATTGAATACACTCTTCTTCAATAATTTTCAGAAACATTCAAAAATACACAATTATCATCTCTAAACAGCAGGGAAATATTGTTTGTTTATTGAAAATGTTCGTTAAAAAGTGAATGATAACAATACTTTTTCATAAAAAAAAAAACATTAATTAAAAGTTATCTATTGAAAAGCCTCCTATGTGTATTGGGATGTTGTTTGTGAAAACGGATATCCATCCTGAAGTCGATTAGATGGAATAGTCGTTGTTTTCATACGAGACTGTATTTATTGAAGAGCTAATCAAACTACGTCACAAAGACATTGTCAATTCCTTCTGTTTCACTTTCAGATATATTGACGTCTTGTCGAAATCTTATTGACCATGTCCACCATATATATTCGGAATTAGAAATCTAAAACTCTTCTACATCTGTCACTTACCTATTTTTTTTCTAAAACGAAACACAGTTTCGAACAAGCTGTATGATTAGCATGATGATTTCATTAACACTATTGTCAATTTTCTATTTCTAGATAGCAATATTCCTACATTCAAGCCAATGCGTTTACATGTCGCAGTTAAGTTGATATTCTGCTTCCAATAACCCGACTTTCTAGCATGATGTCAACAACTGAATGAACAGCTCACTAAACAAAGTTTTAAATGATGCAGATTGATGAGGATTATGCGGTGTTATCAAGGTTGTCAGTCATAATGATCTCATTGAGAACGCGTACCCTTTCGGAATACCTGGATTTATTCTCCTTGTGGGAATAAGTGTATTTTTCGTTTGTTCTTTTTTTTGCCCCTGTTTAATAGAATATGAGTTTGAATTTTGTTAACATGTCAGGTTTGTTATTGACTTTGTTTAATATTATTGATTTTTTTTATATTCTAACTCAGCATGTATATGCTTAACACCATGCACAAGTTGTTTATAATTGATTTGATTTCAAACGAAAATCTTTCTATCTTAGTCTATTATGGAGATCACCCAACGTGAAGGATTCTGGATAACACGTGATCTCATTATGGTAACAGTGCCGGTTAAAAGTGAGTACAATTTCCATTGAAACAACAGACATTGTTATTGTTACTGGTTTGAATTGTAACGGGGTTTCAGGAAAATGCATGATTACTGCATGATAGCGTCATAATACTAATGGCAATAAGTGTATTTTCGACATATCAAAGAGGCTGCGGATAACACAGTCTGAAGAGTTATAGGTCTTCGCGATCCCAGGTGCTTGGTTCGAGATTTCAAACCCGTGACGGCTTCAGTTTCTTCGCTTTTGTGTTTTTGGGCAAAACTTTTTTCGAAATTGCTCTGATAGACACAAAATTTGTAACGGGCTCTGTTGAAAATATTCGATATCCCTTTGAATCAGTGGGACCATCCTACACAGACGACGAAATAAGAATCATAAGGATTTCAGCACAAAAGTTTCATATATCAGATCTTTAATGCCTTCCTTCTTGTCAAACGTCTTAGCAAAACTTAAAAGGCAGAGATTGTAAAAATTAACATGTTGTTGTTACTCAAACTGTATTCTAACGTCACAATATTTTCTGATTCAGACTCATAACTCAGAAAGGTCTGACAGTATAGTAATATCATAGCCTGACTCCGGAGAGTATTTTTGTCATATAAATGGCATGAGAATGTCAATCTGAGTTGATGGTACACGACTAGGGCCATTGTATGAAAAAAGATGGAGGCTGTGTCCCTAACCACAGCAATGGCACCTTATAGATAGTAGTTATTCAGGTACGATGGCGTCGATATGGACATCATAGCTATTTTCTAAACCTGTATATCCTGTAAAACTTTGATTATTTATGTCACCTTAATTATCTAGGTATAGCTGTGGACTGGATGTCACAGAATATACTATGGGTAGAACAAGGATCTGAGTATATTTCTGTCGCTAACTACGAAGGACAGTACCGGAAGTGGTTGATATCACAGGCATGGGCAGACGACATCCGTGTTGATCCACACAACAGGTATAAATAGCTCATCTCGATATTTGTTTTTGTGTCATAACTTGACTGTGTTTAATAATTAACTTTCGCTACTTTTTCGTACTTCTTTATAAATGCATGACAGTATTTGCGATAACCCCCACTTTACAGCAAGTATTGCATAGTTAAAGATATGTCTGATGTAAGCTATAGTTGTCAAATGCAGTTATATTCACTTTCCGACATCATGATTGTCTTTCATTTATGTTTGTGAGGAGCACAATCGATAGAAAACGTTTACAAGGACATAAATATGATGTCTTACTAATAATTACACGAACAATGTTTTGATAATACATTCGTTAACTTCTGTAGATTTCCATTTAAAACAATTTATTCTCAAATAAATACATTTTAAAATTTGAGATTCATCCATTTCGCAACCTGTCTAACCTTTATTGATGCTGTTATATAAATTCAATAACGGTTCAGGGCATGATCGAAATATCATTATCACTAATTTCTCTACAAGGATTCTTCGTCTTGAAAACGATTGCTTCATACAATGACATAATGTAATACTTGTCGGGAAGATAAGAATTAAAATAATATTGATCTAGTTGCATGGTAGCCGTTTTGTATGTCAATGCTCAGTAAACTACTATTCAGTGAGTGTATATAAAGAAGGTCTTTTTTAAGATATCTATAATTGCAACTGAATTAAATCATATCGTTAATATTTAAACGTTGATTTCAGAATGATATTCTGGCTTAACTCATCCCTGGGTTTGATAGAGGGATCAGATCTTGACGGGGGTGGGCGTGTCACTTTTGGTTACGCAGATAAACAGTTCGCTGCTCTTACTATCGACTGTGCTGCTCAACGACTCCTCATGTTTGACTTCCGGTCAAGGGAACTGGTATCCATCGATTACCTCTCTAGAGCACCTCCTGAGGTGATCAGACAAGGGTTTTGGCACGTGACATTCCTTGCTGTGATTAAGGTAAACACAAATTCTTTGATGTTGTTCATTTGTAAATAGATTAATTCTAGCTTTTCCATTATAAGGAAATGATTTTTAAGGAAAATCAATTAACATAAATACATAACTAAGCATATCTGAGTATGAGTATCAAATATGTCACTATTTTTCATTTGACAACAACTCCCAAATAATTTCCTGTTCCATGTATAGTCAGCGCTAGTTATAATCTTATAACTGATGATGAATATAATATGGACAGAAATAAGATTATTTGTTGGATTGGACAAACGCCTGTGAATATGGCCGAATATTATTTGCAGAAAAAAGGCTTATAACAATCAATGAGATAGATGCGATGCTGAAATGAAATTATCTTTTTCAAATGCATTATCTAAGAAACATTGTATTATTATCATCCACGTGGATTAGGATTACGTTGTTGTCAGTAACGACTCGAGATGCCTAACATTAGTAAATACCCGGACAGGACTCCGTCTAGCCTCTAGATATATAGCTGATGACGATATTTTCAAAATGGAGCTGTACCATGTCGACAATGTTATCAATACAAGTGAGTGAAATTTCAACAACCAAAATAATGAACAAATAAAGTAAGAAAAGTTTATTTTAACTGATATTGCGGTTTTTTTTGCTGTGGCCAGACAGGAAAATATCGACATTTCTACAGAATCTTATTGATGAAACGACGAAACAAATTAGTTTAATCATTCGTCTCCACTTAATTTTGTATCAGCAGCAGCATGTGAGTATTTTGTTAAATGTTTAGATGTGCATACTGAACATTCTAACTAGTATACCAGTTTTATCATACAACCCGTGTCTAACCTTTACCATCAATAGGTCCTTGCATGGAAAACAATGGCGGTTGTGCCCAACTGTGTCTCCCTAACCAGTCCACAAGGAAGTGTAGCTGTGGATTCGGTTACCATGAAGTCTCCAGCAGTAATAGATGTTCTTCTTGTAAGTCCAAACTATTGTTTCATTGCTACATTATCGATTCGCTAAAGGTGAAAGGATGGATGGTGGCAATTATGTTATTCTGGGGTCATTCATTAATTAGCAAGTGTTATTCCCTGAAGACACTTTCATATCAGTTGCTTATGATATGTTATTCAAAGCATCAAGTTTGGTGTGAGCTCATATGAAATAGAAGTGAAGGCATGTAAATATTCAATTCCTTTGTTTACGTTTTACAGACTAAATAATGGTTTGAAAATTGTAGTTTTTGTGTTTAATTGTAAGTTACCGAATCGCAATTATTAATTGATAAATTAATTTGATCAACAAATTAAAAATCATTAAAAAGTTCCAATTTCCAGAAATCATTGCAAAGTTATTGAATCGCCACTTTAAAGACAAAATAGTTAATTAATTTTAGTGGAATATGGGATACCCTACTTATGATATAATATCCTGTTCAGTCGCAATTGAAGCAAAGTTTTCATGAGTTGAATTTCTTGTTTGCTTCTTCTATTTTTCAAAACAGTTTTGTGTTGTTATTCAGATAACATTAAGAGAACATGGTAGAATACCGCGTATAACGGCTAATTTGAAATAACATCGTCATATTGTCAAATTTAACGTCAAACGTTTAAAATATTTGTTTAGTTCTTGTTATTTTTCTGTTTGCTTTGATTTTAGAAATTTAATTGAAATAACAAAACGTTACAAAATTACTAAACATGAAAGCCTTATATATCCACAGCAGGTTTGCCAGAATTATTAAAAACAAAACCTGTGACATGAAATTGCAGTTTTGTCGTCACCCTTTATGATACGTTTTGATTCAGCAGAGTAGTAGAACAATACTGACTTAACGAAAGTGTTTGTTGTTATATTGAAATTAAGAACTCAGGAGCAAAGTACACCTCAACATCTAAATTACGAAATTTATTTCGACCAGTTATGATTTCATTCCCTACTTACGTATTATTTATCTTTATCCTGTATACTGTAGATCTTATGGGGATTTCTTTCCTGTTGATTGTTGATCAAAGAGCACCTGCCATTTACCAATATTACCACGATCACCACAGACGTCCTATCGACCGTTATACCATTGTCCCAGCGGTAATCCGGGGACAACCGTACGCTGTTACATACGATAATAGAGCCGAATATGTAAGTATGTCATATTCGTTACATACATACTGGTAAATCTTTAATTTTCGTGAGCGTATTATCGCTTTATTCAGATAAACGTTGGCTTACAGTCCTAGTAGATTTTGTGAGCAAGATTTATGCATGAAATATTGCGTCAAAGAAAGTGTATGGTTTTGGAAAACCGTGAAATTTGAGTTCCAATTGAATGTATAATTTTCCAATATATACAAAACATATGTGTTCCTATGAACAGCCATAACCCAGTTGCTTCCCATTATATAATCGTAACAGGCGACTGAATATTACCCACTAGAGAATCGGACGTGTTAGTCAGTGTTCTTTGCTCAGGGGTCATTAAGTACACTAACATAAAATGTTGTTAGCAAAGCACCATTTGAAATGTCGGTCTTTTCTGCTTTTCCTTTCATTCTGATTTTTCATTCTTTGCATTGTTCTCTTCTATTGACATTCGTCGTCACGTTCCCTTGCTGTTGTCAAGATGTTAAACCAAGATAAATAAATAAAACATATTCTTCATAGCATGTTTCAAGATCTAACATAGAATGATATTGTAAGTGACAAACCTTTATTTAGTAAATATAATCACGTAATATTTTTGCGTGTTATACATGCCACAATTGTTCTATGTACGTTGATAGGTATGTGATTTATGAAACCTGTAACGAATCTTAAGTTTCAAATGTGAAATGTTTTGTCCATTTTCATAAAATCACATATCAAATTGTCATAAAAGGTCCTACATAATTCTTACCACACTATGTATATTGATTGGTAAGGTATTAAGTAAATATATCTATTACAATTTCATTTTTCGAAGCACATCGGTTGCTTTAAAAAAAACCAAACTAATAGAAACAAAAAAAAGCTGGTCGAGGGATGCTAGGAAATAGAAATTTCAGGTGACCACTCCCCCTCAAGTGACATGGTGTTGTGTTTATATGAAATTTATATTGATGTGACAGGGAAATATAAGAGTAATTAAAACCTGTTTGTTTTAATAGATATATTGGTCCGATATTCAACTGTTTACCGTGAGTCGAATACAACGCAATGGTCATTCCCAGGAAATAGTATATCATGACGATTTTCTCTGTAAGTATTTAATATCGTTGGAGTAAACTTTATATGCATTCATTGTTATATGAACACACTGGAATTACGTTAATATAGAAGTATATACAGTACATAACTATACGATGTTTATTTGTTTCTCGGTTTCACAGGCAGTCACCATTAAATCATTTCACAGGAAGTCATTGTTAAATCATTTCACAGGAAGTCATTGTTAAATCATTTCACAGGAAGTCATTGTTAAATCATTTCACAAGGAGTCATTGTTAAATCATTTCACAGGAAGTCATTGTTAAATCATTTCACATGTTAAATCATTTCACAGGAAGTCATTGTTAAATCATTTCACAGGAAGTCATTGTTAAATCATTTCACAGGAAGTCATTGTTAAATCATTTCACAGGAAGTCATTGTTAAATCATTTCACAGGAAGTCATTGTTAAATCATTTCACAGAAAGTCATTGTTAAATCATTTCTGAGGAAGTCATTGATTTCACAGGAAGTCATCGTTAAATCGTTTCACAGGAAGTCATCGTTAAATCGTTTCACAGGAAGTCTTTATTGACTGCTTTTTTTCAACATGTTGAAGTAAGAGAAGGATATGCGGAAAATCAAATAAGTGAATAATTGATTAAAACGTTTACGTTATCTTGTTCTGCACAAACAGGAATACGAATAATAAGAATCCTCATGTTTTCAGTAGTTTTGTGTCGATCATCATTGAGTTCTCTCTGGTTTCGGTAACAAATCTCGTTCTGGCATGTTTCGTCTTCTATACATTTGGTTATGCTTACAATAATAATTCGCTGAAAGAATCAAAGCGTTCCTTGACTGTCCCTAGAGAAGGGATATTGGTGAAGGGAGACAAGAAAACCGCAGGGTGTTAACTTTAGGTATATTTCAGGTTAGTTTACTTGGTTAGATAATCCTTCTGGGCTACATAGGCTCTAGATTCGAATCATTTTGAGCATACAGAAGTATCTTTGGCAACACTTTATTTTTGTTGCGATACCAGGAGAAAACCCGGAACCGGGATGTAAATGATTTTGTTCTCGGAGGCATAGACTGGGCATGGTGAGTTATGAAAAGTTGTACTTGAATTGATGAAATAGTCAGTGTGGAATCCTGTCCATCTAGCCTTACCCGCTTACAACAGAACGATTTTAAACATAGAATATAAGTTAATTGTATGATCATTTCAGATGCACTTGACTTGGCTATGAGTGTGTCCATGCGCTTGCTGTTTATAGCCGACTATTCCCGGGACCGAATTGTTGCCCTCAACGTACACAACCTTCGAACCTTCATCTTTTCTGATCCAGTCAGCCGAGCTTACGGCCTGAGTCTGGATCCTACCAACAGGTCTGCTTATCCTCGTACTTATTCAACATTTGTTCATTTATACATTTCGAATCTTGTAAATATGATAAACTTGTACATTTATAACAAAACCCCAATTATATGCTTTAACAGATGTCTTCCTTACTTAAATTTTCTACGATTGATCGCATATTGGAGTGGTACAATGTTAGTGGCGATTTGGAACTATTTTATCTTCCCTAATCAACCATCACTGTCTTTTCTTAGAAAATGAAAACAAAAAATGTCATGTACTTACGTGATAAATTAACTTTGTGATAGACTTTTACAGAACACCAGAAATAATCAGGACTTTTCAATTCAAAATTTAGAAAAAAAAAAAGATACACTAGAGATACATATTAAGTCAGGCTGTATCATACAGGTGTTTCAACCTTCTAAGAATCGTCATTGATGCTACAGTTCTAAGTAAAGCAGAATTGAGAAACCTATGAGGCGACTGATGGATACTAAAATTGATTCACAGAAATGACAAAATCTAGATTGAGAGGTGTCCTTGTCCTATATTTCAATAAATTTCGTAAGTTTTCATATATCTGATAATTTTAAAAAGCGTCATCCCAAGGATTGTTCAGAATACATGAGGTAAAAGCAGCCGAGTGTATGACGAATCGAATTCATAGATGTCTCTCTATAGACTTCACCGGCGCTTTAAACGTTACACATTGACGTCAGAAATACATACGTCAATAGATGATGTTGCAACCGCAATTTGACTTTCAATCAAATAACTTAACAGTCATGCATCCTTTAATATGACAAAAAAGCGTTTTAAAATTACACTATATTGTGATTCTGTCGTTTTAACTCTTCACTTTTAAGGTATTTGTATGCGAGCGGTTATGGAGAGACTCCTAACTTCGTACGCTTTGATATGCACACAAGGGGCATCTCGAGGGAACAACTACAAATGTTTGTGTCGCCAGGAAAGCTCATAGTTCATGCAACAGGTATTTTGCACCTTATATACTTATAAAGTGTGCGTAATATATCTCAGTGATACTTCAGAGTGAAAATGTCGGAATACGTACGTCAGGGAGAACTAATAACGAAACAGAATTGATTATTTTGTTTTACTGCTAACTGCTATTCAGTAATATATTTCCTTATATAATGAAGAAAAGAATTACCCGTTTTCTTTTTGTGATACCATAGGTTTGAAAAGTTCAAAACAACCATTCATGTAAAGCAAAATTGACACCAGTTTACTGATTAAATCCGCCAACATGAGATTTAATACTGTTTGATATGTATATATGCTGAGAATATGGACTTGTTAAAGCGGGAAAGTGTACCGCAAATCCTGTTTACTTGTATATCTATATACATCTACATCTAAGTGTGATGAACAGAATTAGTTAATTGGGTCTCAACATTGGGATAACTGAGGGTTCAAAACACGACAATTTTTCATCTTTGCGATACCATTGTCCTAAATTTTCAGGCGCCGATAACTTATGGCGTCTTTGATAATTGTGTATGACATTTTTTTTTTTTTTTTTTTTGCGGTGGCTATCTTTCTCGACTGAAGTGATGGATAAAACGTCGCGAAATAAATCGCGATAATTTTTTTAATTACATTATAATTGATGTACAGCATATTGATTATCTTTCTTCTTCAATACAGGTACATATCTAATTGAAGAGTATTACAGAACAATTGTGCTGATAGACAGTACCGGTAACGTGCAAGATTTTAAACGATTCCCAGAGGGTCACGTGGTACATTTCATTACAGCAGACAATGATAATCTCTACTGGACTGAACAAACTACAAAAACTGTATATAGGTAAACGAATACTTGTAACTTACCTTCTAAATTCCTGCTTTGGAAAGTATTAGAAATGTAACTATATCTATGTTGTCCTAAGATTTTCGTACACTTTTGATAAATACAATCATATTATTGAGTTTGCTTTCTTCAGCATTCAAAACATTCCTTAATGCATTGCTTTTAACCAGCTGAAACCCATCTGTTAATAAGAGTCGTTCAGAAATAATAATTGAGTTTGAATTAAGATTGTATTAACATGCCCGTTTTGTCTACATTGACTCGCCCTCAGTTTGTTTACACATGTTTTGTGAAAGTAGTCTGCATCTTTTAAGGTAAAGGTACCTGAAAGTGATGATAATGATCTCCAAAAACAATTGTATAACAAGATGGTAGCAGAAATATCAACAACTATTCATTCAAACTGAAAATTGATAGATAAGATAAGATGTTAACATATATAAAAAGGGCAGAGATTTGTATCATCGGTCAATTAAAAATTACATTCTTGTAGTTCTGAGGTTCTGAAAGGGTAAGCGTCTTTTACTTCAGTTTCAACCGCGATGTAAATCGACGTCAAGCAACCAATGTAACTTTTGTAAAAATCCTAATTGTGTTCACAATATCCTTATATTTAATACTGAGCAAATTGGCGTGAAATAAATTCATATTTTAAAGTATTTAAATAATGAACTACTACTTCATTTCTTAAGTCTGTCTCTATTCACGTGCATTTCAATGTTTTTTTGGAGATAACAACTAATTTTAATAAACCTCCCTGCCTAGCCGTTAATGAGGTAACTAATTTATCTTTGAATGTTGTTAATTCACTCAATTAATGGTAATACTTCCAGCATTTCATTCCATAACGCAATGTGACAAAAAACTGATGGAAAACAAAACACATTTTTCTATCTAAAAATTCCCATCGGCTACGGTATTTGTTTAAATATGCAAGTTGAGAAAATTCTCTATTCTCGAAACATCGGTTTTTGCCTCTACTGTTCCACCAATGAACAGTGTCTTTCTATTTATTTTTATCCGCCATACAAAAACGAAAATCCTTCAAGTTTTCACATTTTCAACATAATACTTTTTTTTAATTTACGTTTTGTTTAATTACTAACTTAACAAATTTGATATAAATGTGTCACTGGCATGGTAAATATAAAAAGGCATATAAAAAATATATAAATTCCATGCATTTTCCCAAATATTTCTTATACTAGACAGAAAAAAATTGGAGATCATCAATTTTGTAAATAAGATTTCTTTTACCTGAATTAGAGCTGTATTTAAACATGCCTGCCGAACGATTTCATCATAAAATATGAAATATAGAAATGAAATACCCTTTGCTGTCTTTAGACTAAATCTACACTCACGAATGGAAACCACGGTGGGAGTAGAGGGAACACTGATACATCCTGCTGGTTTGTTTTATTTTGGAGTGGCTAGGACATATACAGGTACGCAAGGTTTTAATGAAGAAGAAAACAAATAACATAAAAGATATATTAGAATCGCTCCATATGCTCGAAGATTGTGACCTTTCATTGACAACAAGACTCTTATTTGTATAAGAATAAATAGATTAATTTCCGTGTGGAGTTTGATGGTCTAAATCCTCGGATTTAAATGTCCATAAATAAAAAACAAAACAAAAAAGTTTACATGCAATATTGTACTAATGAAGTTTTGTGAGCATTTATCAATGAAATCAATGGCCAATGTTTTGGAATACCAGAGAAATTGAGAACACATGACAGAATATGTTTTACAGTGTTATACTGTAAAGCCGGTATTTTCTTGGGGATGATTTTTTTTCTCGGTACATTAACGTGATGACAGTGATGTAACCCGTGAGAAACGTGTGCATTACATGTCATTGTACATCCAGATCTTAATATTTTAATTTGTTAACATATAATTCGTTCGTTTTAAATGCAAATTTTGAAATTCAGTTATTCATGACTACGTTACGAAAACACAATTAATTTTACATTCAGTAAATACATGTAGTATGAATCAAATAGTATCCTTAAACATTATATCTAGGGGCAGTTTCTCTACGTTGGTAATGCCAATAGAATATAAATTCTTATAACGCATGCACCCACTAGGAGACTGGAGTGTGACTTTTCGATGGTTACACTGTCAGCTTCATCAGACAATTTACCAGTGTCAAGTCTACTAGCACTGACGTACGACGTATATGAGACAGCACGGAATAGACTAACCTTTTCGGCTGTACTATAATCTTGTACTGATTGCGTTCCATAATTCCATGTAATTTACCATCCGAAAAGACAAAATCGACATCGGCGTTATTAAGTTTTATCTGAATCTCGATTTAAATAAAGTTTTGCAGGATACTTTCTTTTATTGTTGATGGGAATAGACGGCTACTCCAAGAACTGTTAGTACCCTTAAACATCATGTTGCCATACAATAGCTCATTTTTGTTTTAAGGTTATCGGGAAAAAATATCAATGATACCATTATTCTCAGATTTCAGCTGTTCTCCTCCCTGTTCGGGTATTTGTTTACCTACCGGAAACAACCTTACTACTTGCGTTCCTGCTTTGGCACCACCTAACAACAATCTTCAAAATAGTGGTATGTCATAGAATTAAAATCAGCTAGTGCCTTTCTAATTGGCTCTGATATGAATATGTCGATATCACTAGCTTGAATTATAGATTTGATTTATTGGTTTCACTGAACATCAAATAAAGCGATCAATACAGAAATGAGTTTGAAAGGAATAATTATTTTCATGTAGAAAATTTTTATGAAGAGTTGCTTCCTACACATCAATAAAGTGGTATTCCACATGATAACCTTGGGAATCTTAATCTATCTGAACAAATATGAAATAAGCTGAATGGCATGCCATCTACAATATAAAATTTTGATACTGACCCCACAATATCATGCAATACATAATATCAGGTTTTATTGGAACTATTATCACAATATCATGAATTTCATAATACAAGAAATTGACATTGGCCTAAAAAACACAATGAATTTGATAATATCATATATTCAAACCGACCCGATGTCACATAATCGATGATATCAAACACTGACATGAACAACAAAATTTCGTCAATTCGATAATTCCGGATATTGGTTAAATTTTCAAGAACATGGAATAATTGGATACTTAATTAAAGTTAAGAAATTATATTATGCAATTCAAGACTCACCTTTCGCGTTGCCGTAATCTCAACAAGTTGAAGAAATCATGATAATAAGATTAGGATATATAGAAACTAATAGTAAGACATCATCACAATAGTAATAATTTGGTTTAGATGTCACAGGTTGTGATTATCTTTACACGAGCACTCCCGCTTTTGATACATTGGGTTGTTTTTGCATCTGATCGTGTCAATACAATTTCTTGTTTTATAGATGTATGCATCGTCCCTAGCAATGGCGATATTCAATTTGGTCAGGTGATAGGGCTCCGGCCTGATTCGATCGTCCCTGCAGGAGTACAACTGAAGGTGCAATGTCTACCTGCCCATAGTGTCGACGGATTAGACACTGGCATATGTCGTTTTAAAACCTGGACAATCATTCCTAGGTGTAAACCCGGTAAAGTTGAAGTTTGCAAACCGATCATTCATTAGACATGAATATTTGACCGGTTTAGGGAGGGTTCGGTTCGTATAAGAAAACGAAGTCCTGACTTGGGTATAATTGATTATATTCCGTTCTGTACTTTAACCATTCGCTTCAAGCATTTCCAATTCTCTTGTCTGGCTGAATACAGAGAGAACATTTATAAAGTCAAAAGAATCGGATAATGTGAAAAAATATAATTCGTTATAAAAATTAAACAATTGAATTCTGTATAGCTTTGTAATGAATTAAGTAACTAATAAAATCACCATGATAACGTTTTGTATCATTATCCTTCATAGACACGAAAATTTACGGAACACGGAATGGCGGATGGACGATCTTTTCACGATCTGGTTACTTTTACGTGTATTCTTGGATGACGACAGTGAAGGTTGTTGTGATTGGTGGTGGAGGAGGTGGTTATCCATTTTCTGTTCAGGGAGACAGCGCTGGGGACGGTCAAAGATCGAGGTTTGGTAACGTAACTAGTCTGATATCAACTGCAAGTGGAGGCCTTGGGGGCACGTTGGCGTCAGGTATCTAATATATTCATTTATTCATTTTTTATTTTTGTCTAAGCAGATGAGTTTTGCTATTGATTCTTTTTAGACTGATAGACTGAGTCATTACAAGTTATTCTGTGATTCTCAGTTCCAGCTTTGAGTTTAAGTCAATAATGAAAGTAAACATGTCTTTTGTATCAAAACGGAGTTTCATCAAATGAAATTGAGTTTCTTATTCACTTTTATAAAACAAAACAAAATTCGATGAATTTACAATGTCGTAACCAGGTATTTGAAAGGAATCTTGTTTGTCGATTGTGATTATAAATTTGAAGTAAAGCATGCCTGATGATCTGATGCCTGTTCAATGAAGATAAGAAAATTTATATAGAACTAAAACATTCGACTTTATTATCATTGTGATTTCTTAATGCATGCGGACTTTGTCTCAGGTGGAGCTGGTGGTGTTGGTGAACGGAATTCTGGGTCATCTGGAAGCTTCACTCTTAATACGTGTTCCCGTGGAGGATCTGTATGGGACTCCATACCAAGTAAAATAAGTAGTTTGTTCTGTGACAACGCCTACGGACCACACAGTTGTTTTTCTGGTAAGTACTGGTGCCTGGCCGTTTTCTAGCTCACGTGTATCCTTATGTTCTTGAATCACGTGAAATCGAAGTAATGTCACGTGACCAAAAAAGACCAATGTGAAGAACTACAGTATGATGAGTAAAAAACACAAACATCAAATATGTCCAAATCATTGCAAAAACGTGTAAATATTATGATTAGGATCCATTACACATTATCTATCACATGTTTTGTAATCAGCTCTGTGTTTTTAATTACTAAACACGCCTCTTTATTGTATTGTCAATTACTAACCACGCCCCTTTTATTGCATTTTCAATTACTAACCACGCCTCTTTTATTGTATTGTCAATTACTAACCACGCCCCTTTTATTGCATTTTCAATTACTAACCACGCCCCTTTTATTGCATTGTCAATTACTAACCACGCCCCTTTTATTGTATTGTCAATTATTACCTACGCCCCTTTTGTGTTATCGTTTACTAACCACGTGTCTGTTATTGTGTTTTATTGACCACTGACCACGCCCCTTTTATTGTTTTATTTATTTTAGTTTGCCCCTTTATACTGTATGATCCATTTCATATTAAAATGTTTGCTATGGTCTGCTGACTGGCAAAACTATCTGATGTATTGGTTTTATATTGCAGACCAGGCATACAGTAATATTACTATCAGAATAAGGCGTGACTGTCGTATGGACACTACATGTAAATACTTTGGTGATGGAGCAGAGTCAATGAATGGTGGTTCCGGTGGTGGCGGTGGCTACTCTAGACCCAGCCGCTCAATTTCGGCATACCGCAACACACTCATTCCAATAGAAGTTGGGCGGGGAGGTGAACCGTCATACGCACCTGCTGGAGGGGGCGTGGTTATCGTGTGGTGGGGTTGGGACGAGGAACTGAGTGACGTGGAGACAGCTGATATAGAAGCGCTGTGCACTGAAACATCTAATATAGGACCGTAATTGCATGGTACCTATAATAGTACCGCACATCATTATTCCAGTTATGTTGGTTTTTCATTCACGGGAAAGAAACCATTCCCTGCCGACATCAAGAAAACACCAGACCCTGGTTGTCCAAAGGCTCGTCAAAGATAACTTTTTGTTAGTTAAAAGTTAAAAATATTAATTAAACAAAATTGGAAACATTATTTACCATTTCCTTGCTGTTTTGTTGTAAAAGGTCAGATCGAAATGTTTTGAGTGTTCATTTTGCCTTTCAGGTTTTCTAAAAAATATTTTCAATAACTTTCACGAACCACAAATTAGCTCTAACTTTTGAGGAACCCGTACCAGATGTATTCATTTATCCAGAATCATTTTTGACTACAGTTCCGGTCAAGATTTTTTATCAATCATAATATTTCTAGGTACTTGTTTTGAAATATACAATTTGTATCTGTTTGATTCACACAATACCAATATTTAGATATATAGATAATATAGAATATAGGACTAGAATATTGTGAAGGAGAATTTATATATTTTCTTCCAATACTTAATTTTGTTTCTTAATGAACTTCATTTAATAGATGCTAAATTGGCTTCAATTGCTTTGTTGCTTATGTGTTTTATTGACTCTGTATTACCTGTTGTTTGTCTGTGTCGTTTCATGTACAGCAAGACGTTTTCTTCTTGAAGACTTGATATAGTAAATCCACATATATAAACTTTGTAATTAGGTAACAACAGTATAGCAATCTTGAGTTAAACACATTGATTTTGTTTTCAGTTTTACATTTCACATTTTAGATACGAGAATCCTCTGTTAATGGTATTCACATGAATACTGTGTTACATAAAAATGTAAATATCTTCAACGTGAAAGAACAAAAAAATAAATACAAATTGAAAATGTCCCAAAGACGCACAAGCGATAGCCCCGTTTAATACAAGTTTAAAATCAGAAAGAGTCCTTACAAAGAATGACTTAGACTTAATCCTAAGGTCGTTTTGTCCTGTTTATAGCTGTTATAGTTCTTGGACGGTTTGAATTTCGGATTATGGACACAATTTATATGGAATCTCATAGTACTGTTGGATTTATGTCTACCATGTGGGGTTAATATCTGCAGTATATACTGTACGGAAAAGTACCGTATGACAACAGAATGTGTATAACATATTTTTTTTTTCAATTCCAGACCAGTCATTGAGTCCTTCCTAAAATTCGTTACAAAATTAAAATTAGGTCAAAGCGCAGATCCATGGAGACGTTTAATTTTCTAAAAAAAAAAATACATGCATGCCTGGAGAAGCATTAAGGAATGCTAAAAATAGCACGATGATCGGCTTCAGTGGGTTCTTTGGGTTAATGTCTATTGTTTCCTAAACATGAAACTCGTTGATTGTACAATACCAGATATTTGCAATATATCAGGACAGAAACTTGATGAATGCTGAAGCTTTACAGAAATTGGGAGACGACCAATCGCGACCAAGTTTGGGGTCAGACGAGCGAGTGTTCATGCACTTATATGTGTTTACGTATTTCTAATGATTTTAAAGAAAAACGGCCTATATTTTGTCGCGCACTGCGAAGTTGTAATGAGTGAGTAGTGACCGCGAAAAGCCTAGTCAGCTTCCTTGTTTAATATCTTTTCTAAACAGTCCAGTAATTTGTCAATGTTGCTGGTGGAAATGTAATAAATAGAATATCTAATAGTGTCTTCAGTAATAAACATATTTCATTCGTATATTTTTTGTATCTTTCAGGAGTGCGCAGATATTGAAATATTAGACACACTTGTAAAATATATTTATTATTACTGAAGACACTACTAAACACTACCAAATGTGTACAAAACCGGAAAATACTTGTGATATATTGCTGTATTTCAACTAAGCATGTTTATATGTGGGAATCATCATACGAAGACTCCTGACAAAGTAGTTAAGGATTAACCTTTGATTTTGTTTATTTTATGAGCTCATAAACTAAACAAAATCAAAGGTTAATACAAAGAAAATATTTAAAATTCAGATATATTCAATTAATCGTAGATGTAGGCGTTTGCAGGTATCTGGACGTCATCTCCATCTTAAACGGAACAGACATTGACAACGCCGTTGAGAGACAGCTAAGTCCCGCCCTTTTTCTCGTAAACAATAACAGAAAATAGTTCCTGCATTTCACACATATTTATTTCAGTTAAACAACTTTGTTTTATATTTTAAAACATTAACATAAATTCATATTATCTTTTTTGATAGAGAATCAGTCAGTATTATATGACTCGGCGTGTTTTAAGAAATTATCCGATTGCGGATGGAATACACTATACATATATATTCATGCGCGGTGATGAGGCTCACGTTCCAGTCTAAAGTTATTGGGTTATAAACTGTAGTGTCTCCTGGTTAGTTTATCGAGGGGCAAACACTGGAAATTGTAAATATAAGAAAAATAAATCCGAGTAATAAAGTCTTATCACACACGAAAACGTTTTGCCCGCTGCCGGCTGTAAACCAGTTTCACTTGGTATTCCGCACTTGTCTTTCACAGTCGTGTTATATTAAAGTCTGTCAGCTTCCCCTTTAGAAATATGTTTATTGTTCTTAATTGTTAATTTCCATGTATTTGGTTTGATTCTTTATTCCCTCTATATCAGTCTAAACAATCCCCTTAAGCTGGTCAGTATTGAAGTGAAATCTTCACTTACCTGTCCAGAAGGACCAAGTGCGCGGTCGATGTACCGCGACGTCTGTCGTCCGTCCGACTAATAGACGTAAGTCAAGAACGACTGGACAGGTTTTGTCAAATTTGGTTAGAAGCATCATTAAGTGAAGTAAAACAATTTGCTTATAAATGGTGGATTTTCGCAGCCTTTGGCGGGAGTTGAGGGGTTGAATAGGGAGAATAGAGCAAATTCTTTTTAAATAACCTAACTTTGGTCTGGAGTATGCATAGGTAGAGGAAATAGTTGCGTCTTACTCACCTGGGCAGAGCGATGGGTTTTGATAAGGGATATAGATACGAGTGCTTTAGGTACGTCTTCTTTTAGTTTATGTAAATCTATTTCAGTAAACAAAACCATGTGGGCGATACAGGCCCTATGTGTCTCTTGTTCCTTTCATTATCTAATCCTAGATTTTAATGATAATCTGTATTAACAATGTCAAGGGGCTTAATATTCTAAACATTTGATCTATTTACGTGTGTTTTTCATTAGTATGATTTTACTTTCATCTTACATTCTGGAGAATTTAGCGGTAGTTGTCGGTCATTGACATCACAACCAGAACGGTTCTCATACACAAACGACAGATAAACGAAAAATACAGTTTTATTATTTTTCAATAGATTATCTTTTGCAATAGACAATTGAATTATTTCCAGCGATACGAATTAAATTTTGCCTAGATTTATAATGGTTTTTTTTAGAAACAAAAAAATACCACACACCTAAAAACTCTATTGAAATATTGTTGATATTTGTCAAAAATATGTCTCATATAATTACAGTGGTTTCTGTAAGGAAGTAAAGACGACCATCAGTCTAGTTGGAAACATTGGCTACTGCAGAAAAAGGTGTTGAAGATAAAACATGTTCATGTAGCATGAAAAAAAACGTAATTCAGTCAGCTAATAAGAGGATAATAACAATTTTAATACGATAAAAAAGCGATGTAATAATTATATAGATCATAAGGTCTCAAATATATCTAATGATTGTGTATAGGATAAAAATAGAAGGGTCAGCAATGTAACCTCTATATTCCTATAAATTATAGGTCACACCTATGTTTTGAATCAAATTAGGTCATTAGATGGCATTTGTAACTTAAAAAGCTAATATATCACAAATTGTTAATATGAATTCCAAAAAGTATAGCAAATGTCAGCTAAAAGGTTGCACTTTTGAAAAATAGACATTGACGTTAATGTTACTCATCATTATTTATGTTATTCGTCCACGCGTCTATAACAACGGCAGTAGCAATACATAATAAGGTGTTTCTGTTATAGAAATCATCTGTGATTCGTTCGAAAAACGCACGGAGATGTTGTATGGAAAAAAACAAAAGACGAAAAAACAAATGAAAATATGTATCATTGGTAATTTATTTTAAATGACAAAAAAAACAAAATCAAAAGAAAAAAAAGCTGATGCAATAACGTTTCTCTAGAATATTATTGGATATGTCAAAGTAAAAGATAGTACAAAATGACACGTTAGCAGACTAACGCCAATGGAAAGAGGTAATACATAACATCTGATAAAACTGACAAATCATAAAGCCCGGTACAAAGAACACAAAACCAGACATCTGAAGAAGTTGTTCACTTGTGACATGATCTACGATTCCATGGTAAACTTTAATTTCAATGAAAGGCAGGAATCAATGAAACGCAAATTACCTTATTAGAGATAAAATCTAATTCCAACCGAACGTCTTGAATGTGGAGCTAACACGTTAGCCAGTTCAAGGGATTCGTGTCATCAACAACAACAACTATAGGTTGCCGCCATATTTTCAGCCACGTAGTAACTTGTCACAAGTTAAATTCTCCTTTGAAGTCAGGAATCAATGAAACGCATATTACCAAAAAGTATAGGAAATGCACCATACAAAACAACGGAATGGACATATTTAGAGCTCTCGCTCACGGAAACAGATAAAGGTATATGCTGCTAGCCTTATGATAAATCTTCTTCACATCCAAAACATAAGAAAAAACCAAATAAATGGTTTGTGTATCCATTCCCCATTGTCTGATCTATGTTACATATACGCTTATTGTCTACAGTGCAAAACATACCGAAATTGATAGTTTTTTATATTTTAATCACCATCTTCCTTAAAGCAACTTTGGGTGTTTTTGTCTCGTATAAAGGACCTTCGGCGTTCAACGGCCGAAGAGATTGTCAAAACACATCTATTTACACCACCGCTGTCGATTTAACTTAATAGCTTTTTATTTGTTTCTGTGTATGCGATGTAATGAAAAAACCAAATTTATGCAATATTTGTGTCTTGATAAAGGGACAGATTGCCTCGACAATTTAACAATTCATTTGTTCGTACTGTCGTTATTACTTCATGGATCATATATATTCACCGTAGACCGATACTAATTAGTATAAACAGACAATCTAACAACACGCGCCATGACAGTAGACGTCACAATGAACGCGGATCTGTTGGAAGTTATTTTTGTATGGATGGATTATATGGTTACATATTAACCTGGTGTGTGGATCAATGTCATTCAGTTATATAAATAAAAAAGACTACAACATCATAAAGTATTCAAACAATGTAAACAAACAACAAACAAAGAATAAATAACGGATTTATCATTATGTTACTTTATATTCTTACACATTTCTGTTTGGAATGTAACAGTTCTAGTAATGTATGGATTTCGAATGACAAAAAATGGCGCAAATTAGCTGTCAATGACGTCACGTCATGTCATGGCTTATTATTAAAAAAAAGACCTTCATTAGATTGTCTAAGTTATACGTTTATGTGTTATTTCCAGTTTTAAATATCATCTAAGAAATTGATTATAAATTGTGTAAAAATATTCCTATCAAAGCTGAAAGGACTTAACCAATCCGAAGAGAGTGTTCCTAGACATTAACGAACATAACCATGGAAAGCATACTTAACAATCGTGAAAATGATTTCTATTTTTAGAGACAAAGACTTCAGATGTTGTCAATTAAATGTCCTCCGAAAAAAACATACATTTTTTTAAAAAAAAATCAATCTGTTTTAATTACAACTATTTTTGCGACAATAAAACTATGAAATTATCGTTTTGTCTTCACCACCAGAAACAGCTTTGAATTGATAATTAAACGCATAGCAAAATACAACAATGTAACAACTTATAATATGTAACACAACAAAACTATAACTATATTTATACACTAACAAACTGCAAAAAAGCAAATTAATATGTGCCTGCATTAGTGTTTTAATGTTCTGTCACTATCTATTACTTTTGATGCCGGCATTGGTAATTTAATGGTCTGTCACTATCTATTACGTTTGATGCCGGCATCAGTGATTTAATGCTCTGCCACTATCTATAACTTTTGATGCCGGCATCAGTGATTTTATGTTCTCGTTCTATAAATCTTGACAATATCAAAATGAAATTGTAGCACAATTTATTAATCCAGAATCAGAGAACGTTAATTTAACAGTTTAACCCGATCTTACACTGTTATACGTGGTAAGATTTTCTAATCTCGATTCTATAAACATCAATAATTTTCTATCGCGTGAGTTGATCCAACACAATCTATACCACATCTGATTAGTTCAGTCATATAAAATTGTCATGTCATAATAACACATTGTCACATCTCTTCTATGACGTCATACGCAATCAACACCGTGAGATTTTCACAAATGCAAAAATAAAAAAAAACATATGTCAACACTAAATGTCTTTTGCATAATGATTGTATATGATTATGGACACGTAATGTGCGTAACATGTTTAACTCTCTCCTGAATTGTGTAAGATCAGGCAATTCATATTTCCAAATAATCGTGAGGACGAATCGTGCTTGCGTAAAATTATAAAACAAATTCGACAAAGCTAGATAAAACAGCCAACACTTCAAATTGAATGGTAAATACATATCACTAGAAAATACAAACTCATCTAATTTAAAAAAATAGAAAATACTCAACACGTAAAAACTATAAATATGAAAACGTTTTCTTAATAGTTAATCATAATGGACGGATTTCTCTGTAACAGAGTCCAGTAAAAACTGCACACGAATCATGCACTATAACAGTAACAATAGAAATGACACCAATCTATAGATATATTTCTATAACTTCAAGCTGTTCAAGAATTCATCGCTTTGATCTGCATTTTACATATAAGATTGGTAAATATGTGTGTAACTGCCAGATCTTAAAATATAAATCAAAGATTTGTAAACAACTATGAAACAACAAGAAAACAAGGAAATCATAACACAAAAACAAAATATATTTGTGAGATGTCAAAAGAACTAAATGGTTAGATATTCATTTCATAACTAATAGAAAGCATTATAACATTTAAATATCTGTTAAAAATTGTGTACTTTCTGTTAATTATGATATTTTAAAGTCTGCACGACTATTTTACCAACAACTCTAAAAATACATCATGAAATAGGAGCGACCCAACACTAATTCATATCATTATCGTTCGGAGAGTGTAAACAATGTATTTGCGCATGAATCTTAGATTAAGATTAATTCAGATGCATTCATCTCGCTCTGTCACGTGTATAGCTTTTACAATTTACAAAGTAAGAATTGAAACATGGCTAGCAACCTGAATTCGGCTATGTCCGATCAAAACAGTGATGAGTTGTAAACACAGCAGCGAGTGTCGACTGGTTTTTGTTCTCTCAGAGGGTGTTATACTTTTGTGAAATGTCTTATTTTAGGTATTACAATGTTTGTCCGAAATCTAACACATGGGAAAAAATAACGAAACCTAACCATTTGGTCCCTTTAAATTGCTGTTGCAAGAAGTGGAATCACAATCTTTAGAATACAACAGCCATGATATCGCTGCAAACCAACTCATACAACTCTACAAACAGAATCAGTTTTATCGAATATCACAATGTTTTGAAAATTAAGAAAAAGTCAAAATCACAATAAATATTTTGTGCGTATAGGAATCAAAAAGCAAAAAACACTTTCCATTCTAATATGAATATTCACTTGGAAAAAATATTTCCCAGAATTGAAAATAATACATAAGAGAGATAGAAATCTTGATTTTACAGGGAGAAATGTCGGGCTATATACCTTCGTCATAAAGCATGTTAAAGCTAGAGTAGAGAAAATTAAGATATCAGTAAATTACAGTCACGTGGTAATCACGTGATGACATGAATGCGAGACCAGCTCTCATTTCATGTAATATACAATAAAACTGACATAGAAGCTTTATGTTTGATATGCACATGTATATCTATTTGTGTATTTAAATTTGCACGTTTCAAGAAAGCAGAAAGTTTTAGTTTAATGGAGTCCGGAAGGCAGACTAGGAAAAAAAGGGGACCAGATATACCTTAGCACGTATTCAAGTATCTTAGGAAACATATGAAGGCGAAGAAAATGTATATATACAAGTTGTTACATGTTCCAATATTAATTCAATTTTAATAAAGAAATATTGATACTTGATGAATCAATCATAGCTTTTCAATATCAATCTACAAACCATACTAGCTGCAACACTAAAAGTTCACAGAAAAGGTGTGAATATTTACATACTGTAATGATAGAATTTGAAAGCCTTACAACAAATTTAAAGGTACTTTAACAAAATTATTCTCAGAAACGAACAGAGTAAAGCAAAGGTTCGAAGCCGGTACTTATAAAACTAGCTGTTGTCAAGTGAGGCATTTATGCCTGAACTTTTGTAAATTAGGAAGTTTTGCAAAATACGTTGTATCAGAGCTACAACTTCGATTTAAATACCCAACAAACAAATACAAAAATACATTTCTATAATGCTGATTCAAAAAGGTTTAATTGTACCAAAAAAAAATTTAAACAGTGTCCCTTTAAAAGTGTTTTTAATTCACAGTAGTATATATATATATACGTAGTATAGGCCTACAACTAATATATTAAAGAGGTTTTAATTACATTAAACCGAAATAATCTGACTGGAATCGATAGATTTACCGAAAATATTTAATCTGCGACAGAATATTGGCGCCTGTGTTTGCTTTACGTTCTCAGAAAGACTGTCTTAAAGTTAGTATAATGTTCTCTGAAAGACTGTCTTAAAGTTAGTATAATGTTCTCTGAAAGACTGTCTTAAAGTTAGTATAATGTTCTCTGAAAGACTGTCTTAAAGTTAGTATAATGTTCTCTTAAAGACTGTCTTAAAGTTAGTATAATGTTCTCTGAAAGACTGTCTTAAAGTTAGTATAATGTTCTCTGAAAGACTGTCTTAAAGTTAGTTTAATGTTCTCAGAAAGACTGTCTTAAAGTTAGTTTAATGTTCTCTGAAAGACTGTCTTAAAGTTCATATAACGCTATATGTTGTAAACTAAAATGGAAAATGATGAAATTATAACATTTATTCTATTTTAAATGGACTTCCTTTTAAACAAAACAGGGAGAGCAAATGGAGATAAGTAAATTTCAAAATAAGCTCAATCTTATTGATTTTTTTTATTCTTATGAATAATTAAGCATATTTTTGTTTTTTTCAAAAATCGGTATTTGCTTTGTAAAATATGTTTTCCTAAGAAATATCACTGATGTTATTTTTTCCAGGGATTCTTGCTCCGGTGACATACGCTGTACAAGCACCTGTAAAATTATTATATATGGTTTAGACAATTAACATCGTAATCCCAAACATGAACCAAGAATTCCTCATTATGTTAATTTGTATATAAAATATAAACGGACCCAAGAAATAATTCCAATTGGTTATCAATCACCATAATCACTTCCCTTTAAATCTATTGCAATGAATTGTTTTCATGCGTCTCCAAAGTTTTCTGTGTCTATCCAGTCTGATATTTGATTCTGGTTCCGGGATTGTTGGTGACTTCACTAATCGTCCCATCTCTTTCTGTTGCGGTTGTGGCTATTCCGTGGTGTTGAACTTCCAACCCGATTTTTTCGGCCATCCAGTATCAAACAGATACCAAACACAACAAGCATTATCTAAAAGAGACAATGATATGATTCATTATATAAACTAATAAATCTGATATCAGATTCACACATTTATCGAAATTTAAGAATCAACTTATTCTTAACTTAAGAATTTCCCCCTCAAAACGGTAATTTCTATCACGAGAAGTCACTCAATTTCAGTTTAATTTGATTGGATATTATTTTTAATATACCTTGTATGTTAAGTTCCAGATTAACCCAAAACAAAGATTGATATTACTCAAAAATTTATATTTTTTTTATTTTTATTTTTACGTCTACTATTTCGGCTTTTCTGCGGAATCACACGAGAAGAAGGCAATCTTATTGCTTTCTTAGGTCACAGGTACATTTATAGTTTTATATTATAAAATCATAGACATATATTGCTAATTCATCACATCAGACTTCACAAATCTCGTGCTCTCAAAGTGAGAAGCAGGGCAGGCGGCCATAGGATCTCACAAAATATTGTGTTTAACGACAGACATGAAGGTCTTTCAAAACTTGTTGCAACAATGTCACGTAATTTGATATGGTTATACATGGGTTTAACTAAACATTGTATGGTAGAAGATAAGTCCTATCACATACCTGGAAAAGCCCCAAACCTGCAAATATTCCTGCCATCAGGCCAATATTGCCTAGTACCAAGTCCCAGATACTATCGAAACAGCTCTGGAACAGAAACGAACAAATTGAAATGCAATCTCGTGAGAACAAACTACCAAGGTAAATATCATAATAAAAGACTTTAATTCAACATTTCGTTCTACTGTACTTAATTTTAAATCTGTTTTGAAATGTGTTGTTCATCTAAAAATATAACCTTTGTGATGCAAAAATGAATCTCTTCGTATTGTGTTGAATGTAATAACCATTTTTTCTTTTTTTTTAAATTTGAGTTAAATCTTGCCAAATCACTTTTGGAATTTGTCAACTTGAAAATTGTAATTTTGAAGCTTGAACCCTATAATGTCGATTCAAATCTGATAATGTTGAGTTATGCAAATATTGAACAAAAAAAACCCAGGTATATAGATATTGCCAACGAAGAAATCTAAGAGCTGACTTCACGTTAAGCTTATACAATTGCCTCCTCGATAATCTGGGGATTACAATCACTGTCATGTCATGACAATTTGAAGATTCCATGTGCGACATCTTGTGGACAAGACTTAAAGACTAGTTTCATCATTTGGTGTGCATCAAACGAATCTCGAGGTCGCATAACGGTATATTGTATTGGCTTTGAAGTAGTATATCACTCATTTGTAATCTTAAAAAAGGGGCATCTCAACCTGTGATTTGTCAGGTTTTTTCTCCTTGAACCAATCAAATTACTTTATTTGTGACCTCAATTTTACCATAGCATGTTCCAGAGATACAGAGAGCGAAATTGGTCGTAACCCCTGGAGTATCGAGGATGATACAATTTTCACATACGTTTATTCATAGCACAAATCAGCAAGATCCACACATGTAATGTTTATTAGCATGTTGTGTCAATTTTTCGTCGTATTGTAAAAAAGTTGGCCAAGCAATTCAAGAAATAGGATTTCACGTAATGGAGTCACAGCACAAAAAAGATGTATTTTCAACCAGTTACTTCGCGTTCTATTTAGAGTTCACTCCCTTCTTCCGCCTTAACTTCACAGCCTTAAGACTTTATACTTAAACACTGTCCTTCAACGATTATTTCTTTGTAAATATATTACGCAAGTTTCCCTGCCAATCAAAAGGGGAAGCAACATAAAATTAGCATTGTTTCATATTGTTGGATAAAAAACACATTTTCAGTAAAACAGATTTTTTTTTTCGCAAACGGAATTAGGTTTGTTAATGCTACTTACTGTGTTTTTATAGTTATTGCTAGTGGTTGGGGATGCTGCACAGCTGAAGTCTGCAGATGATGGCAGTTCTTTACAGCATGAGAGAGGCGTCACGAGAGTGTATGTTGGGTAATTCGTTAACCATTGTGCTGCACCAGTAAAATCTTCGTAACTGTCAACGCCACAGCATTTCACCTGGTACACAAAATCTAATACTTTTATAACTGCTTGTTTTTATTATTTTTTCTATTGAGGATTGTGCTTAAATTTCCATTTTACACAAGGTAAATGAAACGAGTCTTAGATATTTTTACTGCGCCATTGCCAGGTTAAATTAAAATTTTGTGACGAGTTTTAAACTAAATATGGATATAAATGTAAAATTCTGCTTGTCACATAATTTGTATTTTTCAAAACATAATAAGTACGGCATTTTACCATAATGATTGAAGGCCTAAATTGACGACATTCTCACGCTATACGTCACAATACGTATGACGCATTGAAGATATGACGTCACTATGTTATAAGAAAAAGATAAAATAGAAATATATATTATGTATTTTATTACATGAAAACGCGGTGATGGATTAATTATCATTCATCATTATCACAATCTCAATCATACAAATTCACTTCTACTAACAATTTTTACTATATTCAATCCTCAAAGAGGTGTTTGAAATTCTGATCGCCTTTCCCTTCAATATGTAAACGGTCGCATATTTTTAACCGGAAATGATATAAATGTTGTTATTACTGAGCATTTCTATTTTCAGAAATGTCAAAAATTAATAATAAAAGGAATTAGATCAATTGATACAGAAACCTACATTGCGTTTCATAATGTCCATTTTTTTCTTCTAAAAATCCGTTCTGATTCTAGTATATGCATAATGATAACATTTTGTACGACTTTCAGTAATTTTTAGAAACTACTTAAAGGCCACGCTTGTTGTCATGAATGCAACAATGATGCTGAAGATTTACAATTATTAGCTTGTGATCGTAGCGAATTTACATTAAGCAATACAAGTCCAAAATTTAAAACGTCAAAATTGACAATAAAAAAATAGATTTGATATATCAAGCACTATATTTTCATTTAAATTAAATGATGTTTCGTTCATGATAATTTGAGTTTAGTATCCGATAAGTTTCAAATATCGTGAAAGCCAGCTTTTGTAACCAATTTACACAAAGAATGGAAATTTTACTTATTAAAGAAATCCCGTCATTTCGCGAATTTAACTTCATGTCACACCGGTTTATGATGAATATAAAACCTGTTATTGAAGATCTATACAACAGAAAATAACCCACCTGTATATGTACAAAGTTCCAGGCCAGTGACACGACGTTAGTACCGTTAAGTCCTTGGTAATCGGACTGGATGGAGGCTTTCAGTGGAGTCTTAATTCCGTCTGTGATCTAAAACAGGAAATAGTTCAAACAATAAAGACATTCAAATCAGTTTACAAATCACAGGGTATCGATAATCGATACAAATATAATGATTTTATTATCGATTGTTTTTTTGTTTTTTTTGTTTTTGTTTTTGTTTTTTTTTTTTTCATTTAAAACCCAGGCTGTAAATGGAATATACAAAACGATTTCTCATGCAGTGCTTAATTTTTAAACACATTTTAAACTTCGTCTTACAAAAAGGCTACTGTACTCCTATAACTTGTTAAATCATTTTTATACTCACAATAGCTGATAAAGAAGTAAGAAATTTACCTACCGAAATATTATCTGACTCTTTTATGTGTCGCGGTGTAGGATACGGATAATGTGATAACATTTAAAGACTTTGCGGGGTTTTATATCATTTTGTTACCCAAGCAAAATATTAAAAAAAATGACTGCAAACGACCACTTGTACACGTGTGTGTGTCAGACGATGTCGTCAACTGAGGAGAGACGCGGATTGAAAGCGAACTTTGCGGTGCTTAATTGAAGATTTATGGTAATAATGAGACAAGTCACCCAACTTATTTGAGGGACGTTAAATTTCATTACTTAAATCGGCAAAACATATGCTCTTTCATAAGATAACAAAACAGGGAATACTGATAGCAAACTATCATTATATAATGAAAAGTCACTTATTTTCGTGGAATTTTATCATCGTTGATTTCTGGGGGTGATGTGAAAATCAAGAAGCTGTATGTCAAAGCGTACTTATAATATATATATGAAGAATGATCGGGGTATACACATGTATCTAGCCACGACATCAAATGACCACTTTCGCTCTTTAACACCCCTGGAACATGTCATGGCAAAATTGAGAGTTTCATGTGCGACACATTGTAGACTAGACGAACAGATCAGTTTGATCCTTTGGATTTCTAAATTCAAGAACGCATAACGGTATAATGTAATGGATTTGAAGTAGTATATCGCTCCTTTGTAATCTTTAAAAAGGGGCTAATCAACCTGTGATTTGTCAGTTTTTGTTTCTCCTTGAACCAATCAAATCACTTCATTTGTGCCCTCAATTTTGCCATAGCATGTTCCAGGAGTGCAAAGAATGTAAGTGATTGTAACCCCTGGAGTAGCAAGGATAGTCCCAGGGGTACAGAGAGCGAAAGTGATCGTAACCCCTGGAGTATCGAGGATGGTTCCAGGGGTACAGAGAGCGAAAGTGATTGTAACACCTGTAGTAACGAGGATGGTTCCAGGGGTACAGAGAGCGAAAGTGATCGTAACCCCTGGAGTAGCAAGGATAGTCCCAGGGGTACAGAGAGCGAATGTGATCGCAACCTCTGGAGTATCGATGATGGTTCCGGGGGTACAGAGAGCAAAAGTGATCGTAACCCCTGTAGTAGCAAGGATGATTGAATAGATGTATTTCACTTACCAATGTTTTATTTCCAAACAGGATTCCAATGAAAATTATTTCTCCAATCAAAATCAACGACACAAGGATGCAGTAGCCAATCAGCATGCACTGAATCTTACAGCATGCGCCAACAAATCCGAATACCGTAATTACCAGTAATATTGTCCCTATCACGATCAATGCAATCCCGAGTGTCCCGATTATCTCTGTGATATCAAAAGAGGACAGGTCCACACTGTCATATCCTGAGCTGGAAAGACTTGAGGAGAGACTCGTTAAGGCGCTGTCGTAATAGGTCTTCAATGTATCATTACCAAATTTACAGAAAAAGCCAGCTACGAAGAAAACAAGTCCAATAACCTGTTCAATGTAAAAAAAATAGATAAGAATTAGTTAGGAACTTGAGTCTATAGTTAAGGGGTGGGGTGGGTGATCATGAATATATTTATCTCTTGTCAGTTAAAGATTTTTTTTTCAAAATCATTATATACAATTATTTTAACCGGAAAAAGATTTACACGTAGGCTCACGTATACAAAGTGAATAAGACCAGGTGTTCCGGGAGTGTTATCGTTTTCTACTTCATCGACTTCACCCGGAATGTAAATATTGGTTATTTGAAGTCGTGTTCCCAAATGAGAACAAGGATTAGAACGTAACGACTAGGAAAAGTAAATGACATTGAAAGTCATTTAACATATCGTACAAGGAAATACAATATTTCACAATAAGGTCATAGTTGCGACCAAAAACACTTTCCTGGGATCCTTGTGTTGAAGCAATGGGTAGAACCCTCACGATATTATAAAGTAACAGCATACTGTAAAAGGTCCTATTTTAGCGATTATTTCATCTTCGCGGTTTTGTGCTATCGCTATTGCACTAAATTACGATGGCGCTAATTGTAGTTACTATTTATCGACAATATGTTTTATTGCGCATGCGTGAATTCATCGTTGCGTTTATTTGTTCCAAATTGATTGCGCCAAATTAAATTATATTTACAGTGATGTAAAGGATACATTCGATAGTGGTGAATAGTGAGAAATAATGTGTTGATCAACCTTACATACCAGGAAAAACAAGTTCACTATCACCAACAGAATTTTGCCACAAGTCGCGAAGCATCCCATGTTGGACACGTGTTAGAATCTGAAATAAACAAAAAATGTAAAGTATTTTATATAGAAAAAGAAAGTAAGATTTAATTAAAATGTCAGAAGAATCAAATGACCACCTTTAAGTGGCACCGGTTGATAACCTTGTCGGCGTAGAAATGCATTATACCTCTATATATCTCTATAATAAAAGAAATTGTCTGACTTGGAAATGTTGGAGTTGGCATTCGAGCTGTTGTGTTACTCAACCGCAATGTAAAAGCGGTGACAATCTACATACAGAATCTCAAATTTCAGCTGCCAATTCTGAGGAAGCTCAACGTTAAATCAGATCAAAGTCGGAATTAATGGGAGCTAAATAACAATAATAAATAGAAAAATACACATTCAAAATAAAATAATTTCATTACACCACCTTGTACTGGGTGCATGAAATAAAAAACTAATGATCCAGGGGAATAGGTGTGCAGGGTTTTAACAGGTGACTTGTATGTTCACACCCTGACCCGCTGACTCTTTCAGCCAATCACGGCACTTCTTTCCTCCTTACTTACAGACCAATAGAACGGGCAAGCGCGTGGCTGGTCAACCCTGACCACTACTCACTAAATGTATGTAGCCCGATGCATAGATATGGATATATATATACATATATATACAGATATAAATTATATAGGTTTCATTACTAATATATATATATATACATATGCACCGGGCTACACAGATAAATCTCATTTAACATTTGTCATTTATATGTACTTGCACTTAAACATCCGGAATCTATAATGACAGGTTGGTTTATAATTTAATAGGTACCTATCACAATACGATGCTTTCTAAACATATGACTCCCCATAGCAAGCCTCTCATAACGCCATGAAATGGACCAGTCTGTGCTGTCGTGTTTGTGGCCTTTGTTCAAGACACTTTAAACCAATTAATCTAGAGGGTATGCAACGAGCCTCCCGCATGTTGTTCAGTTGGGTAGCCACCAGCTACTACGTTGGGATCACAAAAACAATGCCCGTCACAAGCAAAGTGTACATGTATGCTAAATAAATTATTTTCGTTGTAATACTGTCAAACACGATACAATTTTAAAATTATTTATGTTTCGTCATATATCGGAAATGTCATAAAAGTATGATTTTCTTATTTGCATAACATACTCAACGATAGCGTAGAATTTCAGGAGCGATCAATGTACTGATAACAGGGAAATTAAATTGTGTAAACTGTGTAGGGGAGAAAAATAAACAGTATATTGGTGAGGTGGGGAGCTGGATTGTGTGGGTTGAGGTTGGGAAGAGTGAGGCAGAGAGGAAATGAGAAGTAAACAGTATATTGATGAGGGAGGGGAGCTGGATTGTGTGTGGGTTGAGGTTGGGAGGAGTGAGGCAGAGAGGAAATGAGAAGTAAACAGTATATTGATGAGGGAGGGGAGCTGGATTGTGTGGGTTGAGGTTGGGAAGAGTGAGGCAGAGAGGAAATGAGAAGTAAACAGTATATTGATGAGGGAGGGGAGCTGGATTGTGTGGGGTGAGGTTGGGAGGAGTGAGGCAGAGAGGAAATGAGAAGTAAACAGTATATTGATGAGGGAGGGGAGCTGGATTGTGTGGGGTGAGGTTGGGAGGAGTGAGGCAGAGAGGAAATGAGAAGTAAACAGTATATTGATGAGGGAGGGGAGCTGGATTGTGTGGGGTGAGGTTGGGAGGAGAGAGGCAGAGAGAGAATAAGTCACAAATAATGAACGAGATTGAAAATCTTTGTTGAAACAGTCACGTTCTGATGTCTGTGTAAACTACAGTTTAGATATAACATTATCCCTAAGAGACCTACAACGATCACCTGATATTCAACGTTTTTCATGACTACATTGATATTACCGATATTCAAAGTTTTGCTGATGAGAACAATTCGTTTAATGGTTTCAACAAATTCTACCCATGTGACATTCAGGTCAGGTCATTTCTTATCGAGGTCTTTTCGTTAATAAAATGTCGGTCGATAGCCGTTTTAATAAATTTGACCCCTGTGACATTGAATATCGGGTATGGTCATTTAGCTTTGCAAACTTCCACTGGAATATTACCCTTGACCTTTTGGCTCTTAGAAAATGTTTAAACGGAAATGTTGACGTTGCACGGATAAACGGACGGACGACATGCGACCAGTGCCTCACGTGGGGCGCGGTACTGACTGCAGCTCAGCGTTTTTTATCTCCGGGAACTCCGGCTTCCCGCCATTACCCAAACCTGACACGTTTAGCTTCACAAATCATAACACAACACCTGTTCACCTTGGGAAGAGGTGACACTTGATCACTGAAAAATAATTACTTTTTGTGTTTATATAACATACAAACACATTTACATTACATAATAACATCGAGGAGGGTAAAATTTGTAGATATACCGTACTTTCGGTATGTAAATAGCTTAATATACATATTGCATAATTATTCTCATGAAACATTATCAAACCACGCCAATTTAAAGGGCAAATGAGTAATTTTAGATAAAAGGAACGCTTTCTGGCACAAAATAAACCAATAGACGGTCACGAGGTGATTTTTATCTTACAAAGATTTACATTTAAGCATATTTTTCTTTAGGGACAGTCATCGACATACAGTTTATCACATTATGTAACTGATCGGATAAGCTTAATCTGTAGTTTGATTGAATATTTGGCAACTTCAAGACAAATTTGTATGCATTTAAACAGCACCAATGACTTAACCCATTGCTATCTGATACTGCTCCAATATCAAGCTGAATTAGTAAACCAGATGTTGTATTAAATACATTACATGTTGATGCATGGAGTGTTTATTTTATTATGACAATTATTGCTGATCCGCAATAAAACCGTCTCGGAAACTGACAAAGCAAAAATACATATTTACATGTTACCTGGAAAAATACCAGACATGCCTTGAGTACTTGCTGAGACATGCTTTAAGGATTGGGCCAAACATCGATCGTCACGTGACTGTCATTTCCAAGTACAAATACTTCATCATATACTTAGCAAGTAGTTTATATAGGGTTATTCAACGACCTTGAGAGTTTTAATGACAAAGGTCGTGCAATATGCAAATTTCTCGAAATTGAGAAATAAAAAAAATTGTTGATATTTAATATAAACTTTATTTATTTTACAACAATTGCGAAACACGTTATGTCAACTTATACTAATATTGTTGATATATAATCTTTTCATGGTAGGAAACATGAGACTGAAAGTGAAGTTCTCATTCACACACAACATGGCGCCCAAAGAAGACGATGGAAGGACGAGGTCTGTTCACAAAGATAAGTTTTCCAATTTCAATGTTTTCGTTCAAGCAAGACCTAACTCGATTTTATCCAGACAATCTTTCTGCTTGTTTCGATGTTTCACTGGCTAATCCAACTCTCAATACATTTTCCAAACGCTCGAAATAACGAATAGGAAGTGTCATATACTGTCCTTATTTCGAGTGTTTGAAATAAGGTAGAGTTGGAAGAACATTTACCCCCCCCTCCCCCCCGTCACCCTCTCCACCCCATTCCAACCCCCTTCATACTGCTAAAATAGCCAAGACGATCTATTACATAAATTTAATACCAAACCTATCCACAGTAATGATTAAAAGTCTTTTTTTTATTTTTCTTATTTGTTATGCAGCTGTATGCACATAATTCTCAATAACTTTAGAAGGATATGATCTCGTGTAAGCCACAGCGGGAGAGTTGTAATTACTATTGACAAATATCCGAACAAGGTATTCACCAGATTTGAATCAATAGGACTATTGTGGTCCATACTATTATTGGGAATTAGTGCGAAAAAAATATGTCGTCTTGAAATTTCACAATTGACAATAGAGAGTTACGTAACCACAGGTTATCTATTGGTAGTGAAATCGATTTTCAATACTGGACGCCCAGCGAAAATATACAGAATATTGACACGAGGATAATTCTTAAGAACATGTGTTTAGTTTCAGCTTGAAAAGCATTTTTATTGTTTCATTGTGAACTGCAAAAATTATTGAAATAGGGAATAAAAAAAAAAAAAAGAAATTGCATTTAGTCATAAAGCTTTTTCACTTCTACACGTCAAAATAGAAACGAAATACGTTATTACTTACTTTAAACGATAAATATTTCAGTCTCAGTACCAAAATATTGGGCTTATTAGCTTGTTTAAGAGCAAAGAATGATTGCAGCAAGAGAGAAAAAATTAAGAAAACGTTTTTGTTGATGTTATTCACAGCAAACTACTGTAGAAAGATTGGTTTTATGTCCGTCACAACAGTTAACAAAGAGAACAAAAAATGGCGGAACTTCCGAAACACCATTCTTTCTTGAAACGGGAAAGAAGAAATTCTGAAAATGATTTAGGATTTAAAACCTCATTTTTCATGTATTATTTAAATAAATAAAATTTCTTGATTTGAAAATTGATATAAAAAGTAACAAAGGTAAATCGTATTTTCACTACAAGATTTTTTTTTAATTCGAAACCTATATAAAGCTGCAGCACCGGGCACTTATTTCAGAAAAAAAATCTTCTGACTGGTAATGTCAAAATGATATAAGTTCTAATAACACAACCAGTAGAAGATTAGAGTGTGACGTTTCGATGACTACACGGTCATCTTTATCTTATAACACAACCAGTAGAAGATTAGAGTGTGACGTTTCGATGACTACACGGTCACCTTTATCTTATAACACAACCAGTAGAAGATTAGAGTGTGACGTTTCGATGACTACACCGTCACCTTCATCTTATAACACAACCAGTAGAAGATTAGAGTTTGACATTTCGATGACTACACCTTCATCTTATAACACAACCAGTAGAAGATTAGAGTGTGACGTTTCGATGACTACACGGTCATCTTTATCTTATAACACAACCAGTAGAAGATTAGAGTGTGACGTTTCGATGACTACACGGCCACCTTCATCTTATAACACAACCAGTAGAAGATTAGAGTGTGACGTTTCGATGACTACACG